TGAGTTGCAGAAGTGTGGAAGGAAGCTCTGCCATCTGTGAGCAGCTCCATTTGCTTGCCGTCATGCCCCTCACACCGTGAACTTTGCCAACCTCTATATTCTTTTTCTTGCTGAGGGAGGTAGGGGAGAAGTCTTGCTATGATGAGTCAGCGGTGTCAGCACTCTGACTCTCTTCCCGTTAGTTCCTCATGCTGTCTGGTGAGCAAATCCTGCTACATGTCAAAATTAGAGAGCTTGGTGTGCAAAGCCTTGCTTTACAGCTGCACTCACACTTAAAATCCCCTTGTCCAGCAGTGGAACGTTCAAATATCCTCCTCTAGGACGGCAGCGGGGAAGCACTTCAACCGAGATCTGAGCCACCTTCCTCAAAGGGAGGGGAGAACGCGTGCAGTTCTGCAGTGAGCATGGAAAATGCTGTCCCATAACTGAGGACTGGCTTTGGGACGGAGGAGCCCCGGCGCTGCCTTGCCTCTGCTCCCCAGCTCCGACACGCAGTGCTCCTGTGCCATGGCTTCCATGCCTGCCATCTACCTTGAGGACTGTGGGAGCCCCGTGGAGAGATCCTCCTATCTCACTGAGTTCAGTACTAATGGTAAAGCCGCTGGGGATGTCCTGCAGCACAGAGCAGGGGTTGTATTAGTCTGTGTCATTGTTATCGTGGGAGCAGCTGAGGAAATTAGCTAGCTGGAGGGCTGCCAAGCAAACAGTCAGAGATGATCTTCAAATTTATTATTATTTTTTATTATTTGTTGCCCAGATGATGTTCTTGCCTCGGGGGTGCTGGAGCAGCCTTCTGGTACCTGATGGGGAAAGGAGCTGATCCTCAAAATGCAGCTATGCACTGGAATGCTTTGCCAATATGCTGTTTGTTCTCTGTGCCTGCAAAATGCTGCTGGTGTAGACAGGAGAGACAGGAGGAGGGTGTCTTGTCTTCCAAAGCTTGCTTGTTTGTTTGTTTGCTTCCAACTTCTATCTCTGATAACTGTTTCATATTTACAAACTTGATCTGGCTGGGCCATCCCTTCTGTGTCAGCTGTGAGTCTTCTGTATGTTAAGCACAAAGGGATATCCTCTTTTTTTTGTTGTTGTTTTTTCTTGTGGCACAGTTTTTCCTTGAGTTAGTCCTTCACAAAGCCAGCTTTGTCTCTGAAAGAATTATTTGAAGATTGGAGGTGGCTTGGCAGCTTTTGGTAGGTGCAGCATCCCAGCGTTTTGTTCAGTACTGCACAACTTTGTAGATTTGCTCTGATGTCCTTAACACTTGAACGTGTTCCAGTAACACAGTGGCACAGTTGGTAGCCTGGTTTGCACGTCCCTTTTACCTGGAAGAGCTGGTGTAGCCAAGGTGTTGATTCCTTGCTGCCTCAGTACCTTTTGAATCGCAGGAGATGCTGGATTCCGCCGTGTGCTCGCTGTTCCGAGGAGCTGTGCAGGGCCTGGGCTCTGCTCCTGCAGCTCCACCTGGCAGCCCAGGCCGATTGGAGCAGGCAGCTCAGGAGCTGTGGTGTCATGCTTCAGAGCTGCTCCAGTAGTGCTATGCTGGCATAGATGGCTTTGGTGCAATGGGAGGAGGCTGTGCTGGCACCTGTTGCCCAGCAAAGCGTGGGGACGTTGGGCAGCAGTGGGCTGCATTGGAACATTGAGACTTGCAGTGGTGTTTTAGAGAATGGAGAAGGCGAGGAAGAGAAGCAGGCTTAATGCTGTGCGAGTGTCAGCAATCTGCTCACAAGGCTCAGGTAGGAGTGAGCTTTGTGTGACGTGTGTGGGAGAGGCAGCTGTGATTTGCATGCGCAGGGCAAGCAGTGCTGTTTCTATTGATGTGCGTGCAGTTTTGGGTGCAGACCCTAGTAACTCCTGAGGGCTTTCTAGAAAGCCAGAATCTCTTGGTTTAGCAAGGATTATTTTATCATAGAAAAGAGGTGCAGCAAATCCTCAACATGCCTTCAGGAAAAGAATCTGTCACTTTTGTTTACTTCCATAACACAAACTATTTCATCACAGCTTCTGTGCTTCTAAAAGGGGGAAATCAGCACTTTTTGCATGTCAAGGTAATTTGAGACGTTCCCTCTTTTGGCAACAGGAGGCTATGGAGGATGGGAGTGCATAAGAGCGAGACCCTGTGTGGTCTGGGAGCTGTTGGGTTTGGGACCTGAGTGCAGGGGCAGCCCTTCATATAGAGCCCTAGAGCTGCAAAATAAAAGTTCCCTTCCCAGAAGAAGAAACAAAATGATGCTACCTTTTTGCATGATACATGATGACTGTAGCATTTTTGGCTTTGTTTTCATGTGTCTTAATAGCACTGAGGCTGTAGAACACAACACTAGCAAGTATTGTGGTGTTTCTACACCTGCCCTGCTTAACTTTCCTGGAAAGAGCACTCAGTGTGCTTGGCAGTTGCTTTTTTGCAATTGAATTGTATATTTAAAATGGAATTTTTATTTTTGGAAGTCTTGTTCAACGAAGCATTGCTTTATAATGCATCTCTTAATTTAAAATAAATCTGAGATCAGATAAATCCATTTTTTGTCTTTTTTTTCTTTCATCGGAAGGATACCGGTACATTTACACCAAAAGGAGGATGCAAAGATGCACTGTTTAACTACTGTGGGGAGCTCTGACAAAATGGGATGTTCTGAAAATACCATGCCACTGCTGTTGGTGTGCTGTACAGCCTCTGTTCTTAGACTGGTTTCCCATATTGTCTGTAGTCCTGTGCTCCCTTCTTCGCCAGTCCTCTTGCTGTTAAATGCAAAATCCAGCATTTCTCTTGCAAGCTGATGTCTACTTAGTGGTTGAACATCCCCAGAGACCTCTGTTAGCTTATTTGTAGTTTGATTGTTGGTTGTATTTTGTGAATGTGACAGCACAGATCAGCTCCTGCCTTGCCAACTTAGTGGGTTTTATGGTGGTGTAACTGTTAGTGGGCAAGGGAAGAGCTGCTGGTGTCATCTGTCTGGAATTCAGTAAGGCCTTTGACGTGGTCCCCCACTAACATCCTTCTCTTCAAATGGGAAACATGGATTTGATGGGTGGACTCTGATGGATGAGGAACTGGTTTGAGAGCATACCCAGGGAGTTGTGGTCATAGTGGTCATAGTGTGATGGCTCAATGTCGGGATGGAGGTCAGTGATGAGTGATGTTCCTCAGGGGTCAGTACTGGGACCAGTGCCCTTCCACATCTTCATCAATGACACTGACAGTGGCATCGAGTGCACTCTCAGCAGTTTACAGATGACACCAAGCTGTGTGGTAAGTCCACACCAAGGGATGGGATCTTCAACAGAGCCAAGTGCAAGATATGCAGCTGGGTTGAGGCAATCCTCCCTACCGATACAAGCTGGGGAATGAAACAATGGAGCACAGCCCTGCTGGAAAGGACTTGGGGGTACTGGGGGATGGCAGCTGGACATGAGCCAGCACTGCGCCCTTGTAGCCCAGAAACCGACCGTATCCTGAGCTGCATCCAAAGCAGTGAGACCAGCAGGGCGAGGGAGGGGATCTGCCCCTCTGCTGTGTGCTGTGAGACCTCCGCTGCAGTGCTGCGTCCAGATGGGGAGTGCTCAGCGCAGGAGAGACACGGAGCTGTTGGAGCACGGCCAGAGGGGCCACTAAAATGCTCCAAGCGATGGAACACCTCTCTGCAAGGACAGGCTGAGAGAGCTGGGGTGTGCAGCCTGGACAAGAGAAGGCCAGTATCTAATGGGGCTGTAAGAAAGAAGAGGACAAACTATAGCAGAGTTTGTTGTGATGAGAGAAAGGGAAATGTTTTTTAAGTAAAAGAAGGTAGATTCTGGAGAATTTTGTGGGGTGACCTCATTGCAGCCTTTCAGTACCTAAAGGGAGCCTACAAACAGGAGGGGAATCAACTCTTTGAAAGGGTAGATAACAGCAGGACGAGGGGAAATGGTTTAAAGTTGAAGGAGGGAAGATTTAGGTTGGATGTCAGGGGGAAGTTCTTTACAGAGAGAGTGGTGAGGTGGTGGAACAGCTGCCCAGAGAGGCTGTGGATGCCCCGTCCATCCCTGGAGGTGTTCAAGGCCAGGTTGGATGGGGCCCTGGGCAGCCTGAGCTGCTGTGAAATGTGGAGGTTGTTGGCCCTACGTGTGACAGGGGGTTGGAGCTTCATGATCCTTGAGGTCCCTTCCAACCTGGGCCATTCTGTGATTTAGATTGGATATAAGGAAAGTCTTCTACAGTGCAGGTGATTTGGTACTGGCACAGGCTGCCCGGAGGGTGGTGTATGCTCTGTCCCTACTGACACCCAAGGCCAGGCTGGACAGGATGCTGAGCAGCTGATGGAGCTGTGGGAGACCTGTGCATTGCAGAGGTGTTGGCTGAGGGAGAAGCCTTTAAGCGATTCTATATTCTCCTGTGCCAGGAGACCCACTTATGGCATTAAATAGGATTCTGTCTTTTTTGATGATTTTCTAGGGGCACACACAACTGGACGCAATCTCGTTCTAGGAGGAATTGGTGTTGATTCCCTTGCTGCTTCCAGCTGTCAGGCAGCTCAGCCCCCAGCACTGTTCTGCAGCAGAAGTTCCCAACACTTTCATTTTTTCCTTTAAAAAAAGGGTTGTGGCTCATCAGTCCATCTCCTCTTTGATTGGGGTACAACCTGAGAAGAAGCTGGTGTTGCTACTCAGCATTCTCTTCTTCTTCTTTGCAAATGGAAGCTGGTTTCCTGCGACTCCTCATCCCTCACCAGCAGGGAAGCAGCAGTGCTGGGCTTCTTCATGAGCACATCTTGGTCTGTGATATCTTTCAGGACCTTTGTAGCTGTCAGAGTGCTGAGTCCTGGAGTGTCTTTTAAAAAAAAGTTCCTGTTGGAACAGTCTGTTATTTCATGTACAAACTGCCAGTTTTCTTGGCTTTTCTGCCATGTCTTGATGCTTTTATCTTGTCCTGCTGCCTAGCTATTTTGTATTCTCCCCAATCGGTCTCTACTCATTTAATTGCAAACCAATTTTTCTCTTTTTCTCTTTTTGTATTGCTGCAGATGGAGGTAGCTATGACATTATTAACGATGCATCCAGCCCTGCTGCAGGGGACTGCTGTGCACAGCAGAGCTCTGCCCAACACAACTGGGAAATGAACTACCAAGAGGCAGCAATCTACCTCCAGGTGAGCCCTGATGCTTGGTGTGCAGTGCAAAAAACAGTCTTCTGAAGTTATGATAGTTCTTGATTTTAAGAAGGAGAGGGCTTCAGTCTCCAGGTTAAAAAAAAGAAATAAATAGATGTTTTAGAAAGGAGTCTGCTCAAAGAATGGGAATATGCCAGAGTGTACCTCGAAGGGTTTGACAAGACACTTGGGGACAACAGAAAATGGTGGTGCTGGCTCTCTGGCCATCCTTCCTTCCTGCTCCTCTTTGTTCTCTTTAAAGAGAGTTGCATAGCAACTTTAGGTGCTTTGGACCCAGCTGGTTTTGTTGCCTGAGCTGCCGCAGGGTGTCTGATGTTTGCTCCTCCTAGCTCCTACCCTGCAGAACTGAGGACTGTCGCTCCCCCGACGCTTTGTAACCTCTGTGCTAAGGGCCTTGGTAACACTTCAGCTTGCAACGGAATGGTAACCCCAGCCTCTCCTGGGCTTGTGTTTAAACTCATGATTATCAGAGATGCTCTGCAAAGCTTCACTGAGTTGCTGCAGTATCTGATGTTAATGCATGCAGCAGGCTCCGCCATTCAGATGCAGGTTAGTCTTGCTGCTGCCTTGACCGATGTCCATAATGACAGTGTCCTTGAAATGGAGTAAACATAACTTTAAAGTATGCAGACTGTTTATGTGAACCAGTAGCTGCAGGCAACATCTGAATAGGAGACTTTACTGCCCAGCCACATTTTTAATTGCTTGGCTACCAAGAGGCAGAATTTAGACTGTTTTTTCTTTCTGCAAATGTGTTTTTTCAGGCATGAATAAGAATGTCCTGCTGATCTAAGCTAGCTCTCCCTTGGAGTGCGAGGCTTGCACTGGATGGAGCTTGCTGCTGCTTTTGTCCTGCCCAGTCTGGCTCCCTGACCTGGCAGTGTTTGTTTGCTGTTACTCAGAATGTGAGCTTGCCTGTGAGATGCCAAAATGAGAAGCATTTGAAACCATCTCCTGAATGAATCTTGAATACCTCCCTTCTTAAAGGAGGTCCTGTTTCCTAGTCTTGTTTCTAGTCTCATTTGCAATCCGTTACTCTGTTGCAGTAGTAACTGTTTACTGTCCTTACAGTAATTGCTTACCTGGAAATATATTTAAATAAATATGTACATGAAACCTAATGAGATTCAATAAGGCCAAGTACAGGTACTGCATTGGGTTGGGGCAATCCCAGGTATTTATACAGACTGGGGAAAGATTGAGAGCAGCTCTGCGGAGAAGGACCTGGGGTTCCTGGGGAATGGGGTGAGTCAGCAGTGTGCACTCGCAGCCCGGAAGGCCAGCTGCGTTCTGGGCTGCATTAAAAAGGGGCGGCCAGCAGGGACAGGGAGGTGATCGTCCCCCTCTATCGGCTCTTGTGAGGCCCCATCTGCAGCGCTGCATCCAGGCCTGGGGCCTGGAAGGACGTGGAGCTCTTGCAGCGAGTCCAGAGGAGGCACTGAGATGAGCAGAGGGCTGGAGCAGCTCTGCTGTGAGGAAAGGTTGAGAGAACTGGGCTTGTTTGGCTTGAGAAGAGAAGGCTGTGGGGAGACCTCATGGTGGCCTTCCAGTGCTTGAAGGGAGCAGATAAACAGGAAGGGGAATGGCTGTTTGTGAGGGTGGGTGGTGATAGGACAAGGGGAATGGTTTTAAAGTGAGACAGGGGAGATTTAAGTTAGATATTAGGAGGAATTTTTTTCACCCAGAAGGTGGTGAGGCACTGGCACAGGTTGCCCAAGGAGGCTGTGGATGCCCCATCCCTGCAGGCATTCAAGGCCAGGCTGGATGTGGCTCTGGGCAGCCTGGGCTGCTGGTTGGCGACCTGCACGCAGCAGGGGGTTGGAACTGGACGAGTACTGTGCTCCTTTGCAACCCAGGCCATTCTATGACGCTTCAGGATTGAAAAACATCTCAGCTGTGAAAAAGTGATCTCTTAGGACAGTTTTCAAGAGCCAGAAAGTTTCCTTTAAGTAACAGAAGCCCCCTGGCTTGAACCATTGGCTCAAGAAACAAGCTGCTGGATGGTTCTACGTGAAAAAACTTGCTCTAAATTCTAAGCAAAAGAAGTTTTTTCATAGAAGTGAAAATAGTGATAATGCAGCTATTTAAAATCAGCTGCAGACAATTTGTTCAGATGGAATATTTGTCCCCTTCATATTAACATCTCTTATTAAGAAGGAGTGACATATCAGCATAGATACATGTTAATTTTTTGTGGAGTTTGTCTCTCTTTTCAAATTCCTTTACTGCCTGTTCTGAAGCTTGTTTTCACGCAGGCATCCTACAAGGGCAGGATAAGGAGCAGAGCAACTGTCAGCCATGTGCTCTAGAGCTTATCTTGTGTTTTTGTGTTCTGTCCTGGAGAAGTTTAATCAAAGAAGGCTGCAGACGTGTGGAAGTGGTTGCAAGTAAATTATGTGCGGTGTTTGTGTTGTGATGTAGACTGAAGTTTGCCTGCCTTTATGAAGCCTTCCAGGGCTGTGCTTGTGTTTGAAAAGACTTGAGGGTTTCCAAAATGGAGATTTGTGGATATTGATGAGTTTCATTGCTGAAATGTGCTTATGAATGGAGGGGGATACCCCGTGCATCTTTAGTGTTGTTTAGTAAGCAGACGAATGTCAGGCTGTAAAGTGGGAAAACTCTGGGAATTAGGTAAAGTTAGGTAGAAAGCTCTGGTATAGTACTGAGTCACTAACGCTGCTCTCTTTTCTTTTATCCCTACTGCCTTAGGAAGGAGAAAATAATGATAAATTCTTCACACACCCCAAAAATGCCAAAGCACTTGCTGCCTACCTCTTTGCACACAATCACCTTTTCTACCTAATGGAGCTGAGTGCAGCGCTGCTTCTTCTGTTGCTGTCTCTCTGCGAGGCACCAGCTGTTCCTATACTCCGTCTTGGCATCTTTGTAAGTACTTTGGGGGCATAATTTAGAATTCTGCTTGTTTTGCAGGGATAGGTAAGAGTAAAAGAAAGTTTAAAAGGAGAGGAAGAAGGTAGCAGTAGCAAGAGAACCATCTGGCCTGTTCTGCGAAATGGCTGACAGCAGATACGCCAGACAACAAAACATCCTGTTTTTTCTGTTTTCATCTGAAGTGCACAGACCAACTTTGAAAGTGATACTTTTCAGGTCACCAAGTTTGTGGCAGATCTTAACTTCTGTAGCTATTTAGCAGCCTTTTTTTCTTTTTTTTTCTCCTTGAGAAAGCTTAGGAATGTGTGTATGTTTTGATTAGGGTGGCTTAATGGAATGTAACAGGGGCAAGTGTAGAGTCTGGACAAGAGCAATCCCAGATACCAGATAGGTTGGGGACTGACCTGCTGGTGAGCAGTGTAGGGGAAAGAGGCCTGGGGGTCCTGAGGGACAGCAGGATGACCGTGAGCAAGCACTGTGCCCTTCTTGCAGCCAAGAAGGCCAGTGGCATCCGGGGGTGTGTTAAAAGGCCTGTGGTTAGCAGGTCGAGAGAGGTTCTCCTCCCCCTCTGCTCTGCCCTGTGAGACCACATCTGGAATATTGTGTGCAGTTCAGGGCCCCTCAGTTCAAGAAGGACAGGGGACTGCTTGAGAGAGTCCAGCTCAGAGCCACACAGAGATGATAAAGTGGAGCATCTTCCTGACGAGGAAAGGCTGAGGGATCTGGGTTTCTTTAGCATGGAGGAGACTGAGGGGTGACCTCATTAATGTTGTAAGTATGTAAAGGGTGAGTGTTGGGAGGATGGAGCCAGGCTCTTCTCACTGACATCCAGTGATAGGACAAGGGGCAGTAGGTGCAAGCTAGAACATAGGAGGCTCCTAGAACACACTGGTTCTCAGCCTGGGATGAGTTGCTAAACCTTCTCACGTCCCCTCCTCCTGCAGTTGTGAGAACTCTTTTTAACACATGTGTGTTTAACTTGAAGTTTGATGTCTAACACTCAAAAAATACAGTTTTCAAGAAGGAATGGACAAACCGTGGTGTGTAGTATTGGTCCACAGCTGCTTCACAAGGTACCACTGTCAGGCACAGTGCACTGTTGTTCCTGGAGAGAGAATCTACATCTGCTTTTGGAGCTGCTAGTGGCATCCTGAGCGTGTGTCAAGATGTAAAAGAGTTTGACAGCCTTTAGATCCAAATGTTCCTCAAAATGTGTCAGAGCTGCATAAAAGCATTTGAGTTTTGAGCTATGACTAAAGTGAAAGTTGTAAGAAATTTCTTTGTATTGTATATAAATATATACATGTATGTATATATATATAAAAATGTATTTGTGATACATTTTGCATGTCTCAACAGAGAAGGTGTTCTTCCCTGCTGCATGCCTTCCCCATATTTTTCCTGAGCCTGATCAGGACACAGTCTGTGGTTATTTGCAACCACAAATTATCTCTGCAACTGTATTTTGTGCACTTCAGCTAAAAATTTGCATGCTTCTTGGAGAAAGAAGAGGCAGAAGCATGGACTCTGTGCTTGTAATTGGAAGCTCTGGTTTAAGCTTTGCTTTATTTTAACAGGTCCATGCAACCCTGGAGCTGTTTGCATTAATGGTGGTAGTCTTTGAGCTCTCAATGAAGATGAGATGGCTGGGCTTCCACACATTCATTAGACACAAGAGGACTATGGTGAAGGTAAGTTCACAGAACTGTGGAATCATAAAGGTTGGAAGGGACCTCTGGAGATCATCTAGTCCAATTCCTTCTAAAGCAGATTCCTTGCAGCAGGTTGCACAGGAAAGTGTCGAGGTGGGTTCTGAATAGCTCCAGAAAAGGAGACTCTGCAAACTCTTTGGGTAGTTTGTTCCACTGCTCTGTCATCCTCAAAAAAAACTTTTTTCTCATGTTCAAATGGAATCATAGAATCCTTAAGAGTTGAAAGTGTCCTTTAAAGGTCATCTGGTCCAACACCTCTGCAATGAATGTGGATATCTACAGCTTGGTCAGGTTGCTCAAAGCCTGGCCCAGACTGTCCGTGAATGTCTCCAGGGATGGGGCTTCCACCACATCTGGCAGCCTGTGCCAGTGCCTCGCCACCCATCACAAAAGATGTTTTCCTCATATCCAATCTAAATCTACCCTCTTTTACTTTGAAACCATTTCTCCTTGTTCTGTCACCCCGCTGAAGAGTCTGTCCCCTTTTTTCCTGCAGCTCCCCCTTAGAAAATGAAGACCTCTCTCAGATCTCCCCGGAGCCTTCTCCAGGCTTGAGGTTCTCACACCCCAGCTCTCTCAGCCTGTCCTTGCAGAGAGGTGTTCCATCCCTTGGAGCATTTTAGTGGCCCCTCTGGCCATGCTCCAACAGCTCCGTGTCTCTCCTGCGCTGAGCACTCCCCATCTGGACGCAGCACTGCAGCGGAGGTCTCACAGCACACAGCAGAGGGGCAGATCCCCTCCCTCGCCCTGCTGGTCTCACTGCTTTGGATGCAGCTCAGGATACGGTCGGTTTCTGGGCTACAAGGGCGCAGTGCTGGCTCATGTCCAGCTGCCATCCCCCAGTACCCCCAAGTCCTTTCCAGCAGGGCTGTGCTCCATTGTTTCATTCCCCAGCTTGTATCGGTAGGGAGGATTGCCTCAACCCAGCTGCATATCTCGCACTTGGCTCTGTTAAACTTACAAGGTTCTACTGGAGTCACTTCTCTCTGTCCAAGTCATGATGAAACTTCCTGTGTTCTAGTTTGTGCCCATTACTCCTTGTACTGCTGCAGGACACCACCAAAAAGGGCCTGGCCCCATCCTCTTGACACTCTCCCTTTAGAAATTTATAATTGTTTATAAGATCCCCTCTCAGCCTTCTCTTCTTCAGGCGGAACAGCCCCAGGTCTCAGCCTTTCCTCATAAGGGAGATGTCACAGGCCCCTCATCATCTTTGTGGCCCTCCACTGGCCTCTCTCCAGCAATTCCCTGTCTGCTTCAAACCAGGAGCCCAGAACTGAATGCAGTGCTCCAGGTGTGGCCTCCCTGGGGCAGAGCAGAGGGGTGGGAGAACCTCCCTCATCCTGCTAACCATGCTCTGTGCATGGTATTGCCCTTCTTGGCCACAAGGACACACTGCTGGCTCACAGCCAACCTGTTGGCCTCCAGGACACCCAGGTCCTTGTCTGCAGAGCTCCCTGCCAGCAGGTCAGCCCCTAACCCTAACCTGTACTGTTGCATGTGATTATTCCTCCCTAGGTGTAAGAGCCCTACGATTACCCTTGTTGAACCTCATTTTCCTCTTATCCCCCAGCTCTCAGCCTGTCCAGGTCATGTTGAATGGCAGCACAGCGTTCTGGTGGGTCAGCCACTTCACTCAGCTTTGCACCATCAGCAAAGCTGCTGACAGTCATCTAATTGATTGTCAGTGATCCTCTGTCAGCATCTTTGGGAATCAAAGCAACCACAGTAACTGTTGGCCTTTACTGTAGGAGTGCAGCATAGAGATGTGTCTCAGCTGCCAAATGATTCTTGTGAGGTTTCCAAGCTCTTGGAGACAGTTCCCACCTTGCAAGTGCCTAAAGAAATGGGTGATCAGTGAGAGCTTTGTCTTTCCCAAGGGAGACTGCAGCTGTGCCTCTCATTAAACCCCTTTTTTGCAGACTTGTGTGCTGTTTGTACAGTTCATAGAAGCCATCGTGGTGTTGGTGCGCCAGACCTCGCACGTCCGCATAACGAGAGCTCTGCGCTGTATCTTCCTGGTGGACTGCCGCTACTGCGGGGCAGTCAGGAGGTGAGTGGTCAGACCCCTGGGTTCCCTGCTCTTGTGGAGGAGGTGGTGAAGGAAAAGCATGCTGGTCCTGCAGGCAGGCAGGCAGCTTGGGGAAGAGAGGTGTCTTTCGTGAGCAGTTCAGTTCTCAGCAGTCTTCTGTAATTGAGATTGAAACGTCCCTGCTGCCTTGCCTGTATAGGGAAATTTCATAGGTAGTAACTTTGGCTCTAGTTGCAGAACACAAGCTGATGTGTGCTGTCCTCATCAGCATAAGCTGCCTCATGGAGCACAGCATGTGAGTGGGGATGCCTTGCCTCTGGCTCCTACGTTTGCCTTTTAAACTGCTCAGTGCATTACAGAGGTAATGTCTTGAGTCTGGAGAAAGAAAGCTGACAGTGGTAGTCATCACTTGCAGTACCTGAGCTGACTGCAAAGGGGAAGAGAAGTAGCTTGGAGTCAGTCTACCTTGCTATTTTTAATCCTTGGAGGAGGAGTGGGAGGAAGGTAATTCTCAAGTGTGTTTTGTTGTTTTTTTAATCAAATAGAGGATAAAATATGCAAGTTTTAGTTTATTGATGTTTTTTCCATTTGCAGAAACCTGCGTCAGATCTTTCAGTCCCTCCCACCATTTATTGACATTCTTCTCCTTCTGCTTTTCTTCATGGTGATCTTTGCCATCCTGGGTGAGTTGTATTTATGGAAGTATGTGTTTTTGATGCTCTGTCAACTTCAGTAAGTTTAGTCTGGACTTCCATGAAGCATACCAGTTACAGTCCTATCTTCAAAATATTTGTTTTCCTAAAAGATCAGTGAAATGTCACTTGTTAATATGTCTCAGTAAATATGAAGAAGACTTCCCAGATATTTGAGGAAAGTGGGCCTGGCAAAGAGTAGAGTCAAGACCCTGAACTTCAGGAGAGCAAACTTGCAGCTCTTTAAAGAAATTATAGAATGAGATCACCTGGGAAAGTGTCTTCAGGGACGTAGGAATGGAGTAGAGATGACAGTTCTTTATGGACACCTTTCTGAGACCACAAGAGCTCTCCACCCCCTGCATAAGAAATCAAGCAGGAGAGGTGGGAAACTGCATGGCTAGGCAAGAACCTGCTGATCAAGGAAAAGGAAAAGTACAGGCAGTGGAAGCAGAGATGGGTGGCCTGGGCAGAGTACAGGTTGCCCAGTTGTGGATACTCCATCCCTGGAGGCATTCAAAGACAGGCTGGATGGGATCCTGGGCTGCCTGATCTAGTGGTTGGCATCCCAGCCCACAGACTGGAACTAGATGATCTTGAAGGTTCCCTCCAAATCCAGGAGAATATCCCTCCTGGATATTCAGGGATGGGACCAGGGAAGCCAAGGCACAGAGTAGGTTGGATGGTCACATCCAAAGGGTTGTGGTCAGTGGTTCTGTGTCCAGATGGAGGCTGGTCATGAGTGGTATCCCCCTTGTCTTGGGACTGATGCTCTTTAACATCTTTATCCATGACACAGATGACAGGATTGAGTGCACCCTCAACAAGTTTGCTGATGACACCAAGCTGAGTGGTGCAGTTGACACAGTCAGAGGAAGGGATGCCAACCAGGGCATTCTGGGACAGGTTCTAAAAGTGGGCTCATGGGAACTTAATGACATTCAACAAGTCCAAGTTCTGGGTGTTGCACTTGAGTTGGGGCAATCATAGAGTCATAGAATAGCTTGGGTTGGAAGGGACCCCAAGGATCATCGAATTCCAACCCCCCTGCCACAGTCAGGACTGCCAACCAGATCTGGTACTAGACCAGGTTGCTCAGGACCCAATTCAAACTGGTCCTGAATGCCTCCAGGGATTCACAACCTCTCTGGGCAGCCTGTTCCAGCACCTCACCACTCTCCCTGTGAAGAACTTTCCCTTCACATCCAGTCTAAACCTTCCCTCTTTGAGCTTAAAATTCCAGATAAGTGTACAGATAAGTACAGACTGAGAGAAGTCCTCGAGAGCAGCCCTGCTGGGAAGGACTTGGGGGTTCTGGTGGAGGAAAAGCTGGATACGTGCATCAGTGTGCTCTGGCAGCCTTGAAGGCCTGTCTGGGCTGCATCAACAGAGGGGTGGCAGTGGGCAGAGAAGGGATTGTCCGCTTATGCTCTGCCCATGTGGAGTATTGCATCCAGGCCTGGGGCCCCCAGTACAGGAAGAATGCAGAACTATAGGAGCAGGTCCAGAAGAGGATAATGAATGTCCCGGGGGGCTAGAGCACCTCTTCTATGAGGAAAGTCTGAAGGAGCTTGGCTTTTTCATTCTGGAGAAGAAAAGACTCCAGGGAGACCTCACCGTGGTTTTCCAGTGCTTGAACGGAGCTCATCTAAGACAGGAGAAGCCAACTTTTTACATGGTCTGATAGTAACAGAACAAAGGGGAATGGTCTTAAACTAAAACAGGCAAGGCTGAGGTTAGATGTTAGGAAGACGTTTTTTACAGAGAGGGTGGCAAGGCACAGGAACAGGCTGCACAGAGAAGCCATGGATGTCCCATCCCTGGAGGAATTCAAGGTCAGGCTGATGGTTCCTGGGCCATCTGAACTAGTGGATGGCAACCTCCTTCCCACAGCATGGGGTTTGGAACTTGATGGTCTTTAAGTTTGCTCCTAACCCAAGCCATTCTATGATATTCTGTGCTCCATGATGCAGGAGAATGGCTTTCTGGTCCTTGGTGTGATTTTGGTCTTTGTGAGCAGAGATACCTTGCTTTCACTTGAAACTAAACAGACTCCATTTTCTTCTCTCTCTTCTTCTCTCTTCTGTTTCTGTAGGTTTTTACTTGTTTTCTCCAAATCACTCGGATCCCGTGAGTGCCTCTGAGTCTTTGAATGGGAGCTGAAGTGCTATCTTGTCTAGTTCAAGAATCAAGTATTACCGTATAGATGTGGCTTATTTCTAAATGGTGAACGGGGAGGCCAGACGTTAGCTGGTGCTAGCAATAAAAAGGAGTGCAGAGGCTATGTGTGACAAGGCAGCTGGCAGTTTTACCCAGGGTTGACACCTGCTGGGAAGGAAGACAGTACTCTGAGGAAGCTTCCTCAGAGCCCCAAGGGAGCTTTCATGTAATTGTTCCTTGTATCTTAATTCAGTCAAACAAGCCACTTGCTCCTGTCCCCAGGGAAGGGAGGGATCTGGGTGAAAGATTGACTTTTCTGGACAGTGGTTGTCGAAGTTCACCAGTCCACTTGTTGCTGCTGTGCTATAAGTCTGTAACTTACTGGGTGTAAAATGTGTAGATTAGCTTTTAATTGTTTTAAGCCTTCGTATGGCACCTTTCAGGGACCTTTAAAAAGGACCAGTGCTAAAGTACCCTCCTACTGGGAGTATGAGGGAACTGTAGAAGTGACTGTATTGAAGTGTTGGTTTTATAGTTTGTTTTTGAATGAAATGTCACTGTGAAAGTCTGCTTGCATTTTATCACGAGTGTTTTTTCTTTCAGTACTTCAATACCTTGGAGAACAGCCTCGTGAATCTCTTTGTACTTTTGACCACTTCAAAGTAAGTTTGGAGCTAGAAAAGCATCTTTCCTTTTATCCCAAAAGAAATCCTAGCTGAGTTGAGCCTTTATTTGCAGAAATGCTGTCTGCAAATGTAACCACTTCCCTCTGCATGAGAGAGATTTTCCTGGGTTAGCCTGCATGGGAAGGACTGGTATTTTGTTTAAGGATGCTGTGACTCCAAATGCAGAGTTATCTCTAGGCCACTCAGGCCTGTTCATCATTGTGAGGGCAACAAGGGCAAGATTGGGCCCTGGTCCAAGGAGAGAAAGTTTCTGTTTTGTACTCCTTTGTTAGATAGCAGTTTATTGTTGTGAAGTAACTTCTTATTCCTCTGCTTCACTTCCCCTATCTAGTAAAAAGGGGATAACAACAGTGAGCAAATACTGACCTGCTGTTAGGGAGAGCTCTGAGGATTACAAAATTAGCAAAAGACAGTAAATCTTAGGTTGTCACTCTGTAGTTCTCCTTATAGCAGGGCTATATTGCTGTCACTGCTACGTGTTACAACCCTTAGCCATGCCACAAATCTTTCTTTGTTTTTTCAGGATTTACAGGAAATTTGCTTTTTCCTTTTCTTTGTACTGTGCCTCCATGTTCTTGCTGCTTATTGCCAGTGCCGTAAGCAGCTGTGATTTGCAAAAAAGTGCAAGTCCATGAATGTGGGTGCACACACAGCCTGTTAACTATGTAGTGGAAGCGTAGCATTCCAGTGCTTCAACTTGTCTTTTGGATACAGCTTCCCTGATGTGATGATGCCATCTTATTCTCGGAACCCTTGGTCGTGTGTCTTCTTCATAGTGTATCTCTCCATTGAGTTGTACTTCATTATGAACTTGGTGAGTACCAACTTATAGCCTTTGACTTCTCTGCCCAAATTTGGAGTTCACTGCCCAACAGAGTCTTTCCTGTTCCCAAAAGCGCTGTATAATAATCTGAGACCCTTTGGCAGAATAATTCCAAAAATGGCAATTTATCTACAGATAGAAGCCTTCTGATATTTGACCATAAGGAAATGAACTAAATCACAGAAAGCAGAATGATATTGAGTATCTTTCAGCTTTCTTCACATTAATATTGTGTTAGGAGTGACATACTCAGTTGTACAAAATGTATTGTCCTTTCCTGTCTTAATTATTCATTGTAAAATGGCTTTTTAATATTTGGACTTTGCTGAAATCCCTTTTAAATCAGTTTGAAAGTGGTGAAATTGCTAAGGATGGCAGGATTTGAAGAGTGCTGACATATGCAGTGTGAGAGTGGCTTCTTGAACCATTCAAAGCAGGGCTGAAACCAGCTCAGGTGATAATGCGGGAAGTGAAAAAGGGCTTTTCAAAGTTGTTGAGGAATTCTGCAACCCAAGGGAGATGATTTTGATGTCTGGAAGAGGCTTGGATTTCACCATTGCCGTACTAGATGGATTTGACATGTATGCCAGAACTTCTGTGTCAGGGATGAGTCGTGACAGCAGCCCTCAAAACCCACTTTCCAGGAAGCACATGGGCATTTTAGCAAACCTTTTCATATTGCTTTCTGTTAGAATACATGAGGTTTAGCCTTAGCTATGGAAAACAAGTGTGAGTAGTAAGAGACCAGGCCTTCCCTGAAAAATAAGAAAAGACAAAAAAAAGAAGAATTATCACATATGTGATGTGCTCTTTGCCCTTACGATCAGTGACACCTCACTATCTCCGTTCTGCTTCAGCCAACGCAGCACTCTGTAAGATTCCTCTTGCAGGCAATGCCACTCTAGACTGAACGCTCCTGCCTGTTTGAGAAGCACTGACTCAAATTGCTGCAAGAGTAATGAACAAACCGCTCTTGTCTTCTCTCTGCAGCTTCTTGCTGTTGTGTTTGACACTTTCAATGACATTGAGAAGAGGAAGTTTAAGTCCTTGCTGCTGCACAAGCGCACAGCCATCCAGCATGCCTACCGCTTGCTCATCACCAAACAGGTACAGCGTGCTGCAGGGAGGCTGAGAGCAGCCTATGCTGTGGCAGGTGGGGAGGTCAGCCTCTGGAGAAAAGGAATTTGAATGCCAGCCCCCACACGGGGCCATGGAGGTACCTCAGTAAAATGAGAGAACTTTGTCCTGGAGCGCATGTGGTCATTGAGTTCTTCCTGTGGGTGACCTGGGGACTTGTCTGCTGAGCACCAGAGCTTAGAGGAGGGGATGTAATACATGTGAAGGCACAGCCCAGCTGCTAGCTGCTGCATGAATAAATGGAGTGCAGACAGAACTAATTCATCTACTAACAATTCTTTAGGGGGGCAGAGTGCATTGGGAGGGAGTTGGTTTCTTGTTTAACTTACAGAGTGGGAAAAGAAGTCAGGCTCAAGAATAACTCTCTTTTCTCCAGTAAATTGATTCACATTTAGGGCATATTGGTTGTATTGAGGATTTCTGAGGAAGAGCTTGTATAATCAATGAATGTACAGATGTTATAATTATGAAATAACCAAGAGAGTTTGACTAAGCAGGTTATTATACTAGAAAGAGGATAGAGGGCTTACCCTTGTCCTGGGTTCACTGTAGGTCTCCAAAGGACAGATCTGCAGCAGAAACCCTTCCCCACTGGCAGCCAGCTCTTCAATGGTCTGGGAGAGGTGCAGCCAGTCTCCACCCCTTCAGGCAGCACAGCTGAATCGCCATCACTGTGCTCCCAGGGCTGACTCAGTGCTCGCCTCAGGTGGTCAGTCAGAGGTTCAGGCCATGATTCAGCAGTTCCCATACAGGCTTGTAATCTGAAAAAGGTATCAGTAATAGGGACCTGTTAGGACATCTGATTTCCCAAGAAGAGTGGTTGAACTTTGCTTGGCATGTCTGGTTGAACAGCTCCTAAGGATGGGGGCAACAGAGAACAGCTCTGCATGAACTGGAAGAACCGACTGCTAGGAGAGCTTTCTGTGTTCTGGGATTGTCAGCAGGTTAAAATAAATAGCTTCTGGTGCTTTAGGGGTCAGTTATCATAGCATCCTGCAGTAATACAGAAACCCTGCTTAAAACAAATCCAGAGCAGTAATTGAATATGCTAGTGTGTTTCTGTCTGATGTCCCTACCACAGCATTCCTTTTTGTTTTCCTAGGGGCCACCTGGAATTTCCTTCAGGCATTTTGAAGGGCTATTGCGGTTTTACAAGCCTCGGATGTGCAGCCGGGAGCGATATCTCACTTTTAAAGCACTGAATCAAGGCAATACTCCTTTACTCAGGTAGGGTTTTTGTTTTTGTGTCCCTTTTCACTTTTTCTTACATTGAAAGGAACATTTTGAAATGTGCTAGAAAAGGGTTATACAGGTAGTTAAGGCAGTCCAAGACTTCTTCATGGAGAATAGTGCAATCTCTGTCCCTTGGAGCTTGCAGTCTAAGCCTGAGGTCTTTCCTCAGTGGTAGAGTTCCAGAGTTAGCTGTCAGTTTCCTCTGCGGGCTTTAGGTCTTAAAGAAGAAGGTAGCATTGCAAGCCATTCTGAGTATTGTCAGCCAGTAACCTCTGGCCAGACCAGGGAGAGGTCATTGTTGGGTTATCAGCTGTGGCTGCAGTTCTAATAAGGAGTTTGCAGTTTCCAGAGACTCTCTACTGACAATGCCTGACAAGGATGATTAAGGATTTAATCAACTCCAAGGCTCTGATCAGATGTTTCTTTCTATTTTGCAGTCTGAAAGATTTTTACAATTTCTATGAAGTTGTTAGCTTGAAATGGAAGGTAAGTATGTATTGGGTGGAGGATAGGGGAATTGCATGGGGAAAGGAGAGCAAAGGAGGTCAGTGATTTAAGAGAAGGTGGGTAAGAAGGAAAGACAATTGAAAAGCAGATGGTAGGGATAAAGTGGGTCTCCATCACTGCGTGTTTTCTGGGTGGAGGTAGCATTGGTTTATTTTGGTTGTGGCTCTTGTGCTTCCAGGCAAAACGAAATCGTGAGCACTGGTTTGACGACCTTCCACGGACAGCATTCCTTATTTTTAAAGGTAACAAGCTGTGTTTAAATGACAGCATGTGTTGAAATAATAAGAAAAGTATTTCTATACCAAGAAAAGATGCTCTGAAAGAGCTTCCTTGCTTTATGTAGAATAAGGTAGTTGGCAGTAGTGAACTAAACCCTGTGTGAAGTCATGGAGGGCTGTTTTCTTTTATCAGCATAGAGGTTTTTCAGAGCAGGGGATTTATGGTTGCTGAGTCTAGCAGAATTTACAGTTTGTTTCTTCATATCCCATGTAGCAACTCAGAGCAGAGACTGTGGAGTGGGACTTCTGTTTTCACAGAAGCTGCTAGGCTTCCTAGTCCCGCAGTGTGAATGCAGTGCTCAGTGCTCATACAGATCAAGTGCAGCTGCTCAGGATGAGGAAGATCTAAAACACGTGGCCGTGTAATCTGCATTGCAAGCGTCGTTCATCTTCCGTGCCCCAAGTTTCCTGATTGCATGTAGCCATTCAGAAATAAGTCCTTATTTGTAATTTTGTTTTCGTGTTGTATGCTGGAGGGAAACAGACAACAGCATCTGGATTCAAATGTACAGCTGCCATAAACGTCCTACCTATCTTGGCATTTACTCTTTCTTGACAGCATGTGTTGTTGTAAAGGTGGGCTGTTCTTCATCAGTTGTTTTTAACTCTGTCCACATCACAGAACTAGTGTATAGGGGTGGGGAGAAGGCGTCTGCTGGGTTAAGGATACTGAGTTAATTGCCACTAAAATTCCTAACGAAATTTCAGATTGGTCCCAAAAAGTTTCTAATCTACTAGTTCTCTTAAATTTTATGCTGTGGGTTGGTATGAGAAACGTTTCAAAGAAGACAGAGGAAGCTGTGTGTAAGATCTAAAAGACTGCCTAAACATTTATTTTGTCATACTTTCCTTCCTGCAGGCATCAACATCCTTGTGAATTCCCGTCTATTCCAATACACCATGTGTGAGTAGCAGCAGCAAGCGATGCCCCCTTGATTGCATGGCTCAGGGGTGCTGTCTGTGCTAGGCTCTCCAAGGATGTGGCATGTGGGGCCTGGCTGTGGGCTGAGCTGCCATTCCTGTATGAATTCCGGAGTTTGGATGAAGAGGGATGGAATGTGTGCTTGTACCGACCATACTGCAGCTTGAATTTGCAGCTCTCATGGTGTTGAGTCTTCTGGAGAGGATCAGGTTTCACCGTTTCAAGATACACTCGTGATCTCACTGCGTAGGAGTTGGCTTGTTGCATTTAGATACGTTGGTGGTTAGCTTTCATAAGCCTTGAGGTTTTTATCTTACAACTGAAGTGTGCTGGATGAGGAACTGCCTTGCCAGTTGGCCTGTTTGCTTTTCAGAAGGTTCATGCACCATTGCCGCTGAAGAGATTGCTTGGGAACTGAACTGCCAGGGAGAATGATTCTCTGCTCCTCTTGAGGAGGAGTGCTTAATCATGGTGCTGCTTCTAGTGGCCTAAACAGTCTCTTCCTGCTCAGTAATTTGTTGGCTGTTTTTGAGCATCAAAGGGGAGAGATTTTTGTAAATTGAGATGCTAAACAAAAGGTAGGAGTAGGGGTGTGTGGAGATCTGAGTGAAAAGGTAAAATCCTGCACCTTCAGAGCCTAGGTTTGAATGGTGTGAAGCAGTGATAGAGCCAAGATGACTGGGGCCTAGCACTGCTTGGAGCACTTCCTCTGTCCTGTGCTGCTGAGGACACGGTGGTTCTCAAGATCTGGATGCAGAACTAAGATGAAGCTGAAACGTTCTGCCACGCCTGCTATACGTTCTGCTATACCTGTGTATAAAATAATCTTGGGAAAAAAATGACTGAGCGTGATTCAGATCGCTGGTTTGGTTTGGTTTCTTTCTTTCTGGAGACAACAGTCTGAGTTTTGTGACTCTTCCAAGCTACAAAGTCAGTTAGTTGAATTGGAAATACTGTCCCTCCCACATGGCCTATATTGTAATCTTTTTGTTAGCCTAGGAAGTAGTTATCCTGTGATCCAGGAGTGTTTTTGTAGTGGATTTTTACTTTGTTTTTCAGATACTGTGGTGGCTGTGAATGGAATTTGGATTCTTGTTGAAACCTTCATGCTGCAAGGTAGGAAACCTTGCAGCTCATTTCTTGGCTATGATGCTGGGTGATTGAATAAAGGGAGAGCTAGAAAAAGTTTTTCTTGTGTCTTGCAGGAGGGAATTTCTTCTCCAGAAATGTCCCATGGAGCTACATCGTCTTCCTCACAAGTAAGCTGATGCCTCCCAATGTGACTGTGTCATTAAATAATGAGTTGAGAATGGAGTGAGGGAATAGACAGAGATTCCCGGAGAACACACTCACAGGATGCTGCAGAACAGAGGGGAAAGTAGATGATTCCTCTCTGAGATCTCTTTATGCAGGCCAAGCCTAGGCTACCCGTAGCATCCACGTGCTGGGTGTTTTATCATGGGATAAAAGGAAGTGCACAAGCAAAACTGAATTCTGGCACAACATTCTGGCCTTATGTATGGGAGCCTCAGCATTTATAGTGTGTTACCCAAGCTAACTGTTTTGTAGGCCACTCGTGTTGTTTTGGAGGGAAACTGTTGTCCTTTTCATCTCACCAAGAGTAAGGATGGCCGTTGGGTGGCTGTGAAACCAGTGTTCAGCATTCCTCTGCTCAAAAGACTGCTCACCTGTGCAAAGTGCAAGCTTTTGTATAAGCCCTCCATATAATGCTGCTTATTTCTGTGCATGGCTCTCAAATTGTTTTACAGTCTATGGTGTGGAGCTGCTCCTGAAAACCACTGGACTGGGGCCCGTCGAGTACCTGTCCTCAGGCTGGAATCTGTGAGTGCACAGTAATGTTTTGAGAGGCAATAAAAACTGCTGCATTAAAAAGACTGACTTCTAACAGGAAGCAAGTGCAGGCTTCTGCTTGTAGCCTTGTGCATCCTGCTGGGGTGAAGCAGCACCAAGAGCCTCCTTTCTGCTGAAATACTAGGAACCTATCATTGCTCTTACTTTTGTTCTTTTTTTTCATTTCCAGCTTTGACTTCTCGGTCACCCTCTTTGCATTCCTGGGGCTCATGGCACTGGCATTCAACATGGAGCCGTTCTACTTCATTGTTGTCTTGCGACCTCTTCAGCTGCTGAGGTGAGACAGGGAGCACAAAGAACAGGTGGGGAGGAAAACGGCATGTTTTCCATCATTTCAGCTGGGGACTGAGCTCCTACCCAGGAGAGGGCAAGGATTGCTCTGTGGGTACGTGACCATGGCAAACGCAAATCATGTAGAGTAATGAGATTAGCCAGCGTTATCAAAATGAATGATAACAAAAACTTGGGATGGGATATGAAATCCCGTGCTTTGGAGCTTAAGCTGATCTCTAATAGAGATCAAGGGATTTACCGGGGGCAGATTATCCTATGTCTGCCTTCGTGGGGTTCTTACACCTCCTCTGAATCGTCTGATGCTGTTCAGAGAAAAGCTCCTCTGCCATGGTGAGACAGTCTGAGCCAATTTAATAATTTCCATTGAATTACCTGAAATTACAGTTTTCAAAGGATACTGCTTTCTGGGGTGAAGTACAACCCTGCTCTGGCTGCATTTCACCATAAGCGAGGCTGAGGCTTGTAACCTCTGCTGCTCACTAAAGTGGGTCTGATTAACCCTCTTGTTTTAAGGTCTGTTCAACATTGCAGGCCACTCAGAGAGTCGCAAAGTCATAGGTGGAAGGCATTTGAGAAGCAAAGTATTGCTTTGTTAAAGGCAAGTTAATGCAGTTTAGCCCTTCAGTGAGGATTTAAAGAACACTTTGATGCTCAAGTAGAAGGATGAAATGCTGTCCCTTGCCAAAGCCCATGTTTGGCAGCTTAACTTCTCCATAAAGGCTGATGGCACTGCCAAATTTGAAATTAGCAGGCATACTGTGGCTTCATCAGTTTTTTCTCAGTCACAGAGTAAACTCAGGAAAGTTTGCGTCTGGGAAAAGGAATATTGAGTCCTGATTCTGTACACAGGATTAGTTGAGACCTTTTTTTCCAAAATAATAACAATAATTTAAAAATCTTTGGATCGTGCTGCATAAGAAGATGTGGGCCTTTCCTTGAAAGTTGCTAATCCTGTAGGCACCTACCTGGATTTGTTGCAGACATTCAGGTGAAACAGCAGAATGTTATTCAGTAAGTAGATCACTAGAGATCACTAGAACAAGTAGAGATCCTGTGGATTTGGTGTCAGAAAACCTTCCCTGTTTGTTAACCTGGGAGGTTCAGAGAGCTGTGATATTCTTTTTAATATTCCCGACAGCTCTGGAGAAGTTGCAGTGCATAGGTAACTTCTGACATCTCCTTTCAGACTCTTTAAATTGAAGAAACGCTACAGGAATGTCCTGGACACGATGTTTGAGCTGTTCCCTAGGATGGCCAGGTACTGATTGACACTCTTAAGCTGGAAAAAGGAAGGGTGAAGTTTAGTGTCTAGGGCTGTTGCTCTTTTTTTTTTTTTTTTTTTTTGGAGCAATTTGTGATGGGAAGCTATTCTGGGACACCCCTGCTTCTATAAAGATAAGTAAGAGTTGGTGTTTTACTTTTCTGCCCCCTGACTCTGGTGAAAGGAGGCCCATTTGTGAGGAATATCGGCAGGAATGCGCTCAATCCCAGGTGTTTCCTTGTCCTTCACACAGACACTTCAGAGCATTACTGTGAAATGGGGGGGGCAGAAGGAGCTTGGTGTTTGAGTGGGGCATCTTTGGATGTTATTTTCTTGGAGCAGATCTGGGCAGAGCATTTTAGGAAGAGAGCATTGTTCTTGGCACTATCCCAGAATCGAGGATGTGGAGAGGGCAGAACCAGTGTGTTGGTTTTCTAATTAAGCAAACTTCTCTCCACAGTTTTTCTAGCAGAAAAAATACAGACTGGGAGGAAATCCAGGCTGTTCTATAATTTCTTAGAACGCTTCTGCCTTGAGTGAGTGGAAAGTTCCTTGTCCAAAGACCTTCTGAATGAACGCACAAAGAACAGCAGGGCGATGCTGGCAAAGAGGGTGGTGTGTGGTTTTTCAGTTCCGCTTGCTATCCCTTGGAAATTCCTTCCACAGCAACCAGACTGTGACTTTGTATTTTCCCTGCCTTAATAACTTTTCAGTATTATGGTATTTGTGGTTTTTGCCTCCAGCCTAGGTTTAACCCTGCTGATCTTCTACTATTGCTTTGCCATCGTTGGCATGGAATTCTTTGCTGGTGTGGTCTACCCGAACTGCTGCAAGTGAGTGCTGCAAATCCATCCCTGTCTGCAATGGGTTTGGTGCTAAGCTAGTAGTAATGCTTCTGGCAGCCCTGTCTTCCTAGGGGGAAGGGGCCCGAAAATGTGTCTGAGTGAGGCTTTGTAGCTAAGGCAATGTGCTGGGAAAATCTATGTGACATGCTTCGCTTCTTGTGGTAAGATTGGATGAAATGGCTTTTACATTGCATTACATTTACATTGCATTTACATTGGAAAGGAAAGATCTGACTAGTTTTAATGAGATCTGTATTGCTCCTCATCTAGATGTACTGGGAGAACTTCTTTCTGCTATTGTAGTTTTGTAGGAATGCTTTTAATTTCTGCTGTAGAGCAAAGTTGAGATTTTCATTTCTGTTGCACTGGAGCTGCTCTGCCATATATTACATATTAGACCCAACTTTCTACATGATAAATTCACCTTGAATTCGCCTCATCTTAGAAGCCAAGCTGTCCTGTGCCCTTTGTATCGTAAATGATGGCAGACCGTGCAGAAATGCTAATCTTTGAAGATGTGAGCCAAGGAGACAAAAACATTCGGGTTCTCTGGTCTAGTGTTTGCTGAATGATTATTCAGACTCTCTGTGGTTTGTGCTAAGCTCTGAGGGCTTAGCTAACAAGTGTTAGCCAAGAGATAGAAACTGCCACCCAGCTCACCACCTTCTAAGCTTCTGTGTTTGTAACCCTGAGATGTTGCTGCTGTCTTCTCATTCTTTTTCTTCTTCAACCAGCACAAGCACCGTGGCGGATTCGTACCGCTGGGTGAACCACACAGTTGGTAACAAGACAGTTGTGGAAGAAGGCTATTACTATCTCAACAACTTTGACAACATTTTGAACAGCTTTGGTAAGGACAGTTTATTCTAGCAAAGATTGTTCCCTGGTGCTTCTGCGATCCTGCAGAGCTGGATAGCAGCACTGCAATGCTCGTGTAGACCTGGTACTCTCTAAGAGTTGTCCTAGCACACCTCCAACAGCATCCTTCTCTTCTGGACAATGTCAGCTGAGTAATAGCCTGCTTGCTTTGCAACAAAGTCAAGACACATCTCTTAAAAGCCAATGTGAAGCAAGCACATCTATTCTGACTGGTAAGCAGACCAGATTTCCAGAAATGTTTAAGGAGGGCTTCAGCTTACTGTCCTTCTGTAGAGCTAGCAGTAATGCTAATATATTTATTTAAACTGACTGATAAAGAATAATTTGAATATGGTGATTATTTTTAACAATTTTTCTTAATGCGTGAGCAGAGATATTTATCTCCTGGGAATTTCAGAGCTCTCCATACTCTGTTGGGAGAGGGTCAGGTCTGTTTCTGACTCTGAAGAAATACAGATTAAGCCATGTTCCTGTTTCTATGTGTTTACTCCCTTTTGTCATCACTGGGAGGATGACAAATTGCAGTGATGAGGGCCTGCATTCTGTATCTGGAATTGCTGGCTGTGTTGAAGCTTGGTATCTTGCTTCAGTCTTCCCTGTCAAGTCCCTTATTTAGAAATCCTAGAGCAGGTCAGGTTGGATAAAGCAACTGTCTTTATTTTTTTCTTACTTGTATGCAGTTACACTGTTTGAGTTGACAGTCGTCAATGATTGGTACATAATCATGGTAAGTAAACCTCAGCTACAAACAGCACAGTCTCTTGCCAGTTGAGCTTGATCTTTCATGCCACCACTGCTTTCTTCCCCTTGCACTTGGAGATGGCAGGATTAGTCCCAACACTGTCATTTGCTGTGGTCATGCGATCGTTCCTTTTAATCCCCGGGTGATATTTGAGCTCTGTGACATGCCACCTGACATGATTTCTTCTTGAACTTGACCAGTCCTCAGGCTGAATTTTGCAATCTGGACAAGCGAAGTCACACTATATTCCAATTTATCACCCTGCTGTCCAGGCTGTATTCTTATAGTAGCAATGGTTCATACAGTCACAGGCCTTCAGTGTTCAGTGGTTTTGCATATAGGATAATCTCATTTTGCCTTTAGAGATGGATTACCTGCAAGACCCAGTTGGGGCACTGAGCATTGTGCAGGCAGCCTCTGATGTTAGCTATGGAGCCACAAGTATGAGATAAATGGACGGAATTCATGCTGCCTTACTTCTGTTAGCAAGCAGTTATCAACAAGCTCTCCCTTCTTATGCATACTGGTGACTTTTTTCCTGTCTTCTCTAGGAAGGGGTGACATCTGAAACCACTCACTGGAGCCGCCTGTATTTCATGATCTTCTATATTGTGACCATGGTAAGTTTCTGAAGATGCTTCCTGTATCAAATTGGGGCTGAGGGGAAGCAGCTTTTACCATATTACAGAGGGAGCTTCCATCCCTAAGTGAGCACAGCTTTGTTTCTCTGTGCAATGTCTTCCAGAAAAAGGTGTGAGCCCACATCACTTGCAGGAAGTTACATTTATAAACATTGACAAAGTTGATACTGCACAACCTGGGCCTGGGGTAAAGCTGAGAGCAGCACAGCCTTTTTCTGGCCCGTCTGTGGTTTACCGTCATCAACTGACTTTCAGGCAGACGTGTGAATTGGGATGTGTCCATCTTGGAGCACCAGGAGCTGAAGCACAGACCAAAAAGCTCAGCTTTCTGTTGTTGAATTGGACTGCAAGAATCCCCCAGCAGCAGCCTCCTGATCTCTTGTGTTCATGTCCTCTCCCAGGTGGTGATGACAATCATTGTGGCATTTATTCTGGAGGCTTTTGTCTTCCGCATGAACTACACTCGGAAGAACCAAGATTCAGAAGGTTAGAACTGAGGACTGGCTGACCCAAACATTGCATCTTCTCTCTGGTGTCTTATGTCTTAAGTTCTTTACCAAGAGAGTGGTGAGGTACTGGAACAGCGGCCCAGAGAGGCTGTGGATGCCCTGTCCCAGGAAATGTTCAAGGCCAGGTTGGATGGGGCCCTGGGCAGCCTGGTCTGGTATGAAATGTGGAGGTTGGTGGCCCTGCATGTGGCAGGGAGTTTGCAGATTCATGATGCTTGAGGTCCCTTCCAACCCAAACCATTCTATGATTCTATATTTATGTCTGGAGGAAAGAATCAATTGACCAGCAAAGACCAGATTTTTTTTATTTTTATTTTTTTTTAAAGCCTGAGTTCCTAAGCTCATTCTTATCTTTTTGTACATTTCTATCTGAGCTTTCTGTTCTGGCCATCACTTCCCCCTGCCCTGCATGCAGAACAAGGAACACTGCCTATCTAGTCCTCTCTGTCTCCCAGTTGTACTTTAGACTGGTGACCATATGCTGGGTTTGGATGCACCTTTTTGTACCTTTCAAGAACAGGCTGTGACTGGTCTCTCCATCCTGTCGCACCTCTGTGAGTCATCGCTGTCCTTTGTCCCCTGAGCTGTGCATCTGTAGCTTCAAGGCCTGCTAATTTAGGTACCATCAACGTATTAATTTCTTGAAGGCCTTCCCTGCTATTCTCAAGTGATTTACACCCAGACTTTTCAAACTTTGTGTAAACTAATCTTGATTCTTTACAATTTTCTGCAGAGAAGGTATAGTTACTGCACTTTGATATGCCAGAGGATCTTCCTTGCAGAAAGATGCAGTGAAGGCCCTGTCACAGGAATGGCTGTGATTAGCTCATCTGATCTTTCTTAGGTGCCAGAAGATCCAAATGTGTGGTGTCATGTCAGTAGGAGCCAGGCATTATTAGTTACAGAACCATTCCTCATCCTGATCCTTCAGGTACCCACTTTGAAGGGTGCAGTGAAAGGCATTAGTTAACATTTACTTCTCCAGCTGTGTTGGGCAGCTGAAGGCCAAGAGGCAGCAACCAGTGTTTGATTGTTTGTTTTGCTAGTTAGCTTGCAGGTGGCAGAAAAGCTACAAGGCTTTAACACATCAGGCTCCTTGGTATCTTAAAAGCTGAGACATGCTTGCTGACCCTACACACTAATTTTCTTTATCCCTCTTTTGTTGGAGAACAAGGACATATGTGTTCCAGTCAAAAAAGTAGATGTAGGCTGTTCCTGAATCCCACGTGGGCCTGTTTGCTTTGCCTTCCAGGGTCATGGAAGCAACATTCATCTTGCTGACTTCTCTTCCTCTTTTTCTTGCCTTTCCAGAAGACAATGGCATTGTGCTGGAGAAGGAGATCTCCAAGGAGGAAGTGATTGGGATAATTGAGCTGTACAAGTGGAGTTCAGCTGCCACTGAAATTTCTCAGCTGCAGAAGATTGTTTTGCAGATGGACAAACACGGGGTAAGAGGAAACCCATAATGTAGGTTCTTGGCTTGAAGGGAGGAAGGCACACCAGGCCTGCAGGTACCTTTTTGCTGCCTTCCAAAGGAAATCCGTATGCATCTTTGTCATGTTTAGAGCTGAGCCACAAAGAGGAACTGTGTGGAAATAGCACAAAGTTGTTCTGCCCTGGAAAAGTAGCAGCTGAATGTCCTCTGTCCTCTATAGCCCTGACAAGGACTCGTTACAGCCTGCAGACTTCACATAGAGCTGTCCTGGCCCAGTACTAGCTGGAAAGAGGATATTTATCTTTCTGCAGAAAAACCAATCTTATTCTCCTGCCTCTCTTTCTGTGCCATCATACACTTAGGCTCAGACAGTCCTGAAGCATAATGCAACAATGTGTGCATATTGATCCAAACAGCAGCTTTCTGTTCTCTGCATCATTGCTTACCTTTTCACTCCAGGGCAGGATGGACAATTGGAAAGATGAGCTGACCTGGCTAACTGTTCTTGTGTCTGAGAACTGCTGGCTTTTGCATCTGAGAGGAGTTTAAATGTTTGTTTTAATAACAGCTATCGTGTCTGTGTATCCTGTATGCAGAATGCCAGTGCTGCAGTCCCTTAGTGGATCTTTATTTACTTTGGTTGGCTTGGTAGTTAAATGTTGAGTTCTTGTTCACATAGAATAGATGATGCTACTTAGAAACAGATTTCAAGTCAGTTAACCAAAGGATGATGTCTTCAGCCTTGCAGTGGAGCACAGAGTGATGGTCTGGAGTTTCTTTGGTTCTCAGTGCTTCAGATGACTCATAGGCAGAGAGTAATTCATAACTCAGCCCTCTGCTTATGTGATCTAAAAAGTCTAGGCTGGGGAGTAAGTGGTATGTGCTAAGCAAATGAGACCTGAAATTGTTCTAAACTGAGATCTTCCTTTGGAAGGCTGGGTTTGAGCCTTGTTCCAGATGGTATGTTCTTCTGACAAAATTGAGTGCCCTTGACACAGCTGTGTCCATTTGAGCTGGTCTCCTGCAGCTCTTTGTAGCCTTCAGGGATCCCTCCAGCGAAATACATCTCAGCCTGGAGCAGATGCCTGCGTTTAGTCAGGTGATGTGTGCTCTAAAATACCACTGTCTCCTGGCAATGAGAACAGCCTAGGCTCTGCAGTGGGTGACACACCAAATTTCCAGCACAGCTCTTGTGAGCTGCTCAGGGACTGATGAATGCCATCTTTTCATCTTCTCCTTCCCCCCATCTCCTTAGCAAGCGTCAATGCTGTTTCTGGGACGCAGATCAAGGACCAAGAGTGACTTGAGTATGAAGATGTATGAGGAGGAGATTCAGGTATGTGGATCTACGTTGGAAATACCAGTAAGCCTCTGTCATTAACAGAACACTTCATGTTGCCTGACATTTCTAAACGCAGGAGGCGTTCTCCCTCTGAGACACAGGCAGCTTTATGAAAGGAGCAGGCAGTAGAGGAACTGTGCTTTAGATTCATTAGTGCTGGTGTTCAGGGGCTTTCTTGAACATGTCAGAGCCTCCTCCGTGGGTTCAGGAGCCCAGCTGTGTTGATGATATGCGTCAGCAGTGGCAGTAACAGTGCAGGCTGCATGTAGGTGCTCGGCTTGCCCAGCTTACCCATACTTGTGAGGGTGGGCATTGGTTGCTGGGCTAAGTGCCCAGAGTGTTCCTGGGACTTGGCTGCATGATGCTAATTTGTTAAGGCACTGGAATGTGATTGTTTGAGCTTGGGTGTGTCTGTGCAACAGAAGCCAAGTGCTCTGCAAGTGCCAGTTGTTCCTTCACAATAGCAGGCTAATGAAGATGGGAAATGTTTAAATAGCTGATTCTCTGGATTGTTTAAGGCACTGCTGTTAAGTGTTCTTTGAGGTTAGGAGCCTTATGCCATGAATTTGGCTACTGTTGAAAGGTCATGGACTAGTATAATGATTAGCAATGAAGGCATTAATTTCATAATCATTAGAATATTTCCTTTGTCCCCTGGGCAGCTAGCTTGTGGATGAGTCTTCGGTCCTGCTAACAAAAATAAGCACACTAATTGTGGAGCTGGTAATCCGCAGTGAAGCTCCCTGCTTGTTGTGCTTGGTCTCTGACGCAGGGATGTAATGTCCTGTAATACCCTGGGTGCAACTCTGTAAGCCGCAGATGTCACTGGGATTCAATATGGCAGTCCCTTGGCACTGGGGGTCATTTGACTGTGATATTTCCTTGCTCTGGTTTGTCAGACCTGACAGCTCAGCTAGCTGGAGCTGACCTGTGGCTGCTCCTTCTTGCCCAGGCTGTAAATGCTGATATGTGAGCACACCCTTTGTGGCTTTGCTGAGGTTGATGAGGTTGTTTATGTGGGCCATAAACAGGGCCTTGGAAAAAGCCCCTCAGTTTGAGCACATATAGACTGGGGTCCTGCTGGTCCGTGTGGCAGCTTTGGGGCAGAGACTGATCTGTTCTGATCTTCTGTCACAGGAATGGTATGAGGAACATTCCAGGAAAGAGGAATCCCAGATACCTTTGCAAGAGTCTGCATCTGCTTCCCAGAGCTCTCTGAAACCCCTGAGCCTCCGACAACGTTCCCAGACCGTCATCTAGGCCTGGCTAGTGCAAGCTGCCTTCTATGCAATAACCTAGAGTATTACTTCACAGCATATATGTTGGGATGATGTATATAGATCTGTTCCATGTACTGGTTTGTGTTAGGGATAGAAGCTCTTCTGTTAAGTGCAAAAAAACAGGTGGACTCTGCTACAACCAGACTGAGCATGATGCTGTGCTCAGCACAGTGATCTTCTTGGACAGAAATGGAGACCTTCTTCCTCTGAGCTGCTTCCCAAGCTCAATCCTGCTGTTTATCTTAGCAGTAACAGACCCTGGGGAAAGGGATGTGTAATCCATTAAGAGCAGGAAGTGTGCTGAGGCTACATGCTTACAATTTAAAAAAGAAAAGAAAAAAAGAAAAAAAAAAAAAAGGCCCTTTTTGAAGGTCTGCTTCACTTAAAGGGTACTATTAACCTAGGAATAAAAGATCAGGGAAGGAGGTAGTTTTTGCTTCGTGTTTTGTTTTTTGTTGTTTTTTTCCTCTCTGCCCTCCTTTTGCAAAGCAAGAGGAGGTGCTATGGAACTTCAGCATTAGTGGAGAGCAGCCTTTTCCCTCCTTCTTGGGACACCTGGATGCAGTCCCTGCAGTAGATTCAGTTCTGACTGTTGAATTTAACTGTCCCTGAGCCATTCTGTGGAAGCTGGTGAGCGGCAGAAATCTTATTGCATTATGACCATAGTGGGCACAGAAATGTAGGGAGACAAATTCTTTGCTGTGGCTGTGCAGTATCTGCATCTCTGCAGGTCAGTTATGCCCACGGCACTGCCTGGGATCAGAATCACTTCTGTAAACCCTTTAGCTCTCGTCTTCCTAGGGAAGGGTGATTCTGCTGGGTGAGCTCCATCACTTAGCCACCTGCTTGTAGATGGCAAGACTTTGGCTGGTCATTAGTTCAAATAGGTGGCTGGGAAGGAGAGGACTTTGCAGCTCCAAACCCTTAATTCTGCTTGGGGCTGAAACTTACAGAGAGTGCATCAAACGGTACTGCTTGTTGGCCCTCAGGTAGGTCATTGCTTTGTTTAACAGGAGGGTCAGTCGGCACAGCAGCATTCCTCCTCCCTTGTTCTCGCCCATGCAGAACTGTTCCTCAAGCTGGCAAGTGCTGACTGGGTCGGATCTTAGGAGAATCCTCTGCTGAAGGGCTTTACTGTTTACACAGTTCTGGATGCAGAACTGTGAAGGACGATGATTCTTCTCATCTGTCTGCTTTTCAGTGTCTGGCACAGAGGCTGCCAGACCAGGTAGCTGGGAGAGGACGAGGGAGGGGAAAAAGGCTCCTTGGCCAGCTCTGACACGTAAACTCTGGGATTGTGGCAGGTTGCTTCATCTCTTGTGTTTCATTACTGCAAAGCGGTGACAGCCTGTCTCCGAGTTCCTTTCTTATCCTGTCACCACAGAAAGTGCTGAGAGTGAACATTGTCAGCGTGGAGGTTCACCGTACCTCTTGCTGTTTTATTTTTTTCTCAGGTTCAGATTACAGTGGATATGGCAGGGATGGGAGGCTTTCCCCTTCCTTTGGGTGAATGGGGTGGTGGGATGTAGGAAATGGGTGCACATCCCAAGTACATTTTTTGGAAAAGATGAGATTTTCAGAGGCAGGCAACATGATGTGTGCTCCTCAACTCTGAACAGCTGCATTCGCTGAGTGCCTCAGGGCAGCTCTTTGTTTCCCTTCTGGGCTCTGCAAGTGGTATGAAAGTAATTCTGAGCTGAACCGTGAAGGACCTTAAAGGGCTATTTTCCAAACCATAAATTCGACCACAAGTTAATGAGCAGTGCAGCATTTGTCTTGCAGTTGCTCTGCGTGGGACTGCAGACTGGAAGACTTACCTGCGTTCATCCTGGAGCTGGGGGCGATGTTTCCCAAGTTATGGGCAGGGTGGGCGTTGTGAAGGTTAGAAAAAGAAATGTGGCTTTGTTTAAAGTCTGTGTCACCGTGGCAGGGCTGTCACTGACCTCTTCTGGAGCTGCAGCTTTACGCTGTGCTGCAGAGGCACTGACCTACTCACACGTGGGAGAAGGGCTCTGGTGTGGGGAGCAGCACTGAAGCCCCTGGACTGGGCTATGGGGCTCAGGTGCTGCATTTTTGTTTTTTACACTAAGATGTGGGTTTGCCCCCATGTACACAATGTATTATTTTTTAAGCAAGGAAGATCACAGAAGTTTACTTTTTTTGGAAGGAAAAGAAGAAAAGAAGTTTGAGTATGGGGCCTCCCCAACTATTTGCTCTTCCTCCCCACCTTACCCACAGACTAACGACAATCATTTTGCAGGGAATGAAGGAGGAACACCAGGGGGTTTTGTATGCTGGTGTTTTGTTTATAAATATAATTTTATGGACATGTCTGTAAAATATTCTCTAGATTTTTCAAGCACACTAATAAAGAGCATTCTCAGCTTTGTAGAGGCAGCAGCTTGCTTTCTTCCTGCCCGCTGTTTCAGAAGCTCGGTTTCAGTTTACAGATTGCCACATCCTTTGGAAAGAAACTGTGCCCGCTCTCTCTCTCCAGTGGCAACTGCTTGCAGCACTTGTCACATGCACAAACTCTTGCTCCTGGCCCTTGCCAGCTCACAGCCCAGCTTCTTTCTGTGCCCCTGCCAGTTTTTCTCTCTGTTACCACCTTACTCTCAAACATGCGTTTTGTTTTTATAGCTACCTCCAAGGGACAGGAGGGGCTGCAGAAGCTGTTGCTCCTTCACCTCGGTATCTGTGCTGAGTGGTGCTTGTTGGAAGCTGGGGCTGGCTCTGGTAAATCCATGGCAAAACCAATAGCAGCCAGCAAACAGCACCTGAATTCTTGTGAAAGCACTTATCCAGCCAGAGAACAGAGGAATGATCTGGGCCCAGAAGGGAAGAGCAGCAGGCTAGGAGAGCCTGAAAGCTGACAGCAGCAGAGTGCTGCTTGTGCAACTGCCCTCTGTCCCCACAGAGCAGTACTGGGCCAACCACAACAATGCATGCCTGCATCAGGCCCAATGGCTGCAGTCAGTGCTGACCCGTGCACTGTGCTGCTGTGACAGCAGCTTCAGCTACATGTGACTGCTGTTGGGAAATGTGCAGGCAGTGACCCCAGAGGAAGCTGTGGCCTCAAGCGGTGCTGCATGGCCTCTGCCTCACCACGAGCAGCCCCTGGTCTTCCCTGCAGCCCAGCCCAGCACACCCTGCCTCACAGCAAACACACCAGTGGAAGCTGTGTAGTTTTTAATTGCAAGTTGTCCATTCTTACAGTATCTTAGCCTAGTTTTGCCAGAGGCGATTGGGCACATGGGAGCCTCTGCATATCGAGTCCTTTGCTACAGCTCTGTGCACCCTCTGAGATTCAGGTTGAAAAAAGCAGCAGGAGAAAGGAGGCTTCCATGGGCTCATTAACACTTTGTGTGCATTAAGCCTGAGAACTGCTCTGGTGCTTTGCCTCACCTTAACACCTCCGCTTGCTCTTTCAATTCACCCGCTGGCGGCTTTCTGCCCCTTGCAATGACAGGCATTCCCAGATTTGCACTCAAGCCTTTACTTTCCAGTTTCCCCATAGCGCATGGCTGCCAGCCCCAGAGGATCCCAGATGGAGAGGTGAAGGGGTGTCTTAGCGCATGCTCCCCTGCAGCTGCTCCAGCCCTATGCCCTGAGGCAGCAGCCAACCAAGCCTTTACCCTCATCCTTGTTCAGAGAAGCCCCAAGTTAAACGAAGTTCAACAGAGTGGAGTGAGGAGAGGGCTAGTGCTTAACAAATGCTCTTTCTTTCCCAAAACACAACCAGCTTTCTCTCCGAAGAGCAAATGTGTGGCCCAGTGGGCTGCAGCAGGGCAGGGACGTGGACATGCAGTGCTCAGGTGGGAACCAGGTGGATCACCTGGAATTCGGTGAGCAGGGCCACACAGAGAAAAGCCAAGTAGTAGAGGATGAGGCAGGTGCCGTATGCCCTGCCCAGCTGGAAGCACTGTGCCGGTACCACCACGAAGGAGAACACCAGGCTCAGTCCCAGGGCCCCAGCCAAGATCCACACCAGCAGGCTGTCAGGCTCCAGCTGATGGAGAGACAGAAGGACACCGTGTGACGAGGGGATCCCATCAGTGCCAGCCCCGTACTGTGGCCAGCAGCCTCACCTTCACTGCCATCTGGCTGCTGGTCATCTGCAGCAGGCAGCCCAGCCCCACGCCCACCAGAATATCTGAGGGCAGTTCAGGGTGAAGAAACAGCACGGCATCCCCCCCGCCCTCGGGATGGGGACAGCACCATCCCTCTCTCCCGGCCTGGATAAGGCCATCAAAGTTCAGAGTGCTCGAGGACAGGTGGCTCTGGCATGGTCTGGGGCACCCTGGGGAGGTGCAGCCTCTTCCCCTCCCTCCCTGTGGCAGACTCCAGGATGGATCCTGCGAGCTCAGGTCCCCTAGAAGCAGGCCCAAGTAGCACCCCACCCCCCAGCTCCTTGAAGGATACTGAAGATGATGCCTCCAAAGCAGGCAGAGAAGGCCATGCGGGGGTAGCCCTGCCGTGCCATGGTGAGGTCAGAGAAGGTGTCTGCAGGGCAAGAACAGGAGATGCCGGGGCCTGCATCCCACTGCGGTACAGCGTGCCACAAAGGCAGATAACACAGGTCTCTTACCTCCAATGCTGTTGCCCCAGGCCAGCAGGGTCAGGCCCAGCACAGTGTTACTAAGATCAAAGATGATGCCCAGGGTCCGCAGGATGTTCACCAGCTCTGTGGCTGCTGCATTGATCCACATAGCGCTGACCAGGAACCCAAGGAAGGCGAATACCTGACGGGACCAGGTGAGCTGGGCCCTGGCTGCACCTTCTCGGGGCAATGGAGGCACTGTCCTTGCCCACATGGTGCTTGAGGCCAGGGGCACCTTACACAGTGGTATTTGGGTGGCTCTTCATTGCGTGTGGTCACAAAGATGATGATGGCCAGGATGGAGCCAGCCAGTGCAACCAGCGCCCAGACCGGGAAGACGCCCTGGATCTGGTACAGCCCATCTGCATCAGGGACAGAGAGGGCAACTGTGGCCCCACAGGCTGGGCAGGACCTCACCAGCCTGAAGGCACACTACCGAGCCCTGTTCCCTGAAGCCAGCACTCTCCTGCCCTGTTTCTCCCCCAAGACCTGGATAGAGGGGCCCCAAGGAGCTCAGTGCTGGGCCATGGCTCCCAGTCTCAGCCCCTCCTCAGGGCTATGAGGATACCACAGGCTCTTACAGGCCCCCGAATTGAGGGTGAGGATGCAGAGCAGGGGCCCAGTGATGATGTGCAGGCAGTTGAGGGGTCTCTTCCAGTTCAAGTCGTCCTTGTCGGGGTCCACCACAGGCACAGTGAGCAGCAGTACCAGCTCCACAGGGACCTGGGAGGAGGGGGCTCGTGAGTGCCGCACCCTCCAGCACAGTGCCCTTCTCCCATCCCCTCCTGCTCACCTTGAGCACTTTGAAGAGCCGCCAGTACCAGGGCTTCCTCCTCCACTTTTGCTTGTCCAGGGGATTGAGTGCAGTGCCAAGTATGTGCAGCGAGGAATTGCGGTGGGGTAGCAGGGGTCGATACTCCTCACCTGTGTGGGGCCACAGGGCTGTGCTCCGCAAGACTCCCCGCACCCAGTCCACCGCTTGAGTCCACAGCCCACCCTACCGTAGTCCCCGCAGTTGGTGCCCGAGGACTCCTGCTCCTCAGCATCTGTTGGTATTGCTGTGAGGGAGCAAGGAGAAAGTGGGGGGTGCCAAGGGATTCCTCCCGGCACCGCAGAGCGCTCCTTACCTGGCTCCCACGGCCCGGGTTGGGACGGTCCATCCCCGCGCTGCCAGCGATGAATCCAGGTGCACAGCACCACAGTGAAGACATAGAAGACGTAGAGCCCCAGGTACCCTGCCGTGGGGCCAGAGAGGTTACAGGACCCCTGGGCTGCCCCACCAGCCCCTACCCCACCACGATGCTCACCTAGAGCCTCCCCCAGTGTGATGCGGCCAAAGTAGAGGATCAGGAAGGTGAGGAAGACGGCCACCATGTAGAAGATGACGTCCCGGAGGAAGGGCCTGGAGGCCGCTGCAAAGGGCTTCACCAGGGCGATGCCACCAGCCACCACTGTGGTGACAAAGATGCCGGCGCCTGCCAACGCAACACAGCCCATCAGCAGGGTCCCGTGCCCCTCACCCCTTTGGCCAGCACAGTGCTCACCAAAGACGGCCCCAACCGCTAGCCCAGCTGTGCGCGGGTCGGAGAATGCCACCACAGCACTGAAGACATCCGGGGCTCCGTTGCCAAAGGCCAGGAAGGTGACACCATGGAGAGCAGGCGTCAAGGAGCATCCCACCATGTCGGGTCCCCATCACATCCCCCATCATTGCCCCGCGCCCCCATCCGCAGGAGGAGGATACTGCCACATTGTGGGACAGCTTCAGCGTGGTGGAGATGGCCGACAGGTTGGGGCAGAAGCTGGAAGAGCACAGAGTGGGGTGATGGGGGCACAGGGCCGCAGCGCCAGACCATTCTTCACTCCACGCGGCCCCGGGACAACTCACAACTTCTCTGCCGTCACGCCGAGTATGACGAAGAGATAGAGGAGCCAAAGCACCTGCGGGCAGAGAGCTGCCGCGTCGCCCGTGGCCGAGCATCCTCCAGCCGGGGCCGCCCGCCCACCTCCCCCGGTTCCCGCGCTCACGTAGAGGCCGACGGGCAGCGGGAGCAGCGCGGCGGGGAAGGCGCAGAACGCTCCGCCGAGATAGTCGAGGAAACCGTCGTCCAGGCGGCAGTCCGGGGTGCCGCGCACGAAGCGGCACCGCTCGGAGCTGTTGCGCTTCCGCACCTCCCGGCACTGCGGGAAGAGCCGCGTGTCCCACACGCGTCCCTAGCGGGCGGACGGCACTCACCCCCGGGGTCGCAGCCGCTTCCGCCCCTGCCTCGCTCTTTCCCCCTCCGTCCCACGTCCGTGGGGCGGCGGCGGAGGCCGACGCAAGGGCAGGACCCGTCACCCCGCCGCCTCGCGTCCCCACTCACGTCCACGCCCCGGTCGTGTCCCGCGCCGTCACCCCGGGTCCCCGCCTCCAGAGCCGCCGGCGGCCCCGAGCGCTGGGAGCCGCCGTGCCCCGCCAGCGCCCCGGCCACGCTCAGCGCCCCGGCCACGCGCAGCGCCCACAGCGGCCCCATCGCGTCCCACGGCTCGGACACAGCTCAGGCTTCGGGGGTCGGATGCTGGGGGCTATTGCTCGCGAGGGGCGGGAGCCATGGCCGGGGGGAGAGACGGGGACAGGAGCAGGAGTAGAAATACGAACGGAAAGAGAAAACGGGGATAGAAATAGGAATAAAAACGGGAGAGGAAAATGGAAATGCAAAACAGGAATAGGGTTAAAAATAGAGCTAAAAACACAAACAGAAATAGGAATTAAAAGAGGCCACGGGCTGGGGCTTGGTTACCAGCCCCGGCGCTGCACCGAGCCGCCACGTCCCAGCTGTGCTCCCGCGGGAGGAGAAAAGTGGGGCTGAGCGCGGCACGGAGCACCGCGGGAGGAACCCAAATCCAGGGGACGGCGGCAACCTGACGAAAGGCGAGGACGAAGTCCTGCTGGGGCCGGGGCTGCCGGGGCTACCAGGGCACCCTCCCGCCCCACCTCGCCGTGTCACGCAGCCCCGCCGCCGTGCAAGGGCAGCTGATTTCCACCCTGCCTTAAAGGGGCCGCCACTCTCCGCTCTTAAAGCGACAGCGCCTCTTTGTAGCACAGGAAGAAAGGGACCGGGGGGGCCACTCTGTAGAGCCCCCGCCGCCCGGCACTCTCAGGGCACCGCGTTCGGCGTGGCCGTGGGTGCGGGGCCGTAGGTCGGCCTGGTGGTGTGACGCCGCCGACACGAGTGTACCAGGTCCCGGTGGGCACCCGCGGGGGGTCGGGTGAGACAGGGCGGGTGCCGCAGGGCCGGGCCGAGGGAGCCGCACGCTCCCCGCGGGTGGGGGTGCTCCGAGCCCGCTGCCCCCGCTTGGCGCCTCCTGGGGACTTTGCCCGCCGAGCGCAGCGGGGGGGGGAGTGGTAAACAGCCGCGATTGCGTAAGGCCGGGGCTGCCGCCGCGCTCCCGCGTCACCCGCGCTCCCGTGTCACGCACTGCGCACAACTCACGGCGGGGGTGGGCAGCCACGGCCAGGAGGGGCCGCGGGGCTGCCACCTGCCACCTGCCGGGCACGGTGTGGCCGGGGTCGGGACGCTGACGGTCGCGTCCGCCCTGCGTGGGGCTGGGAGGGAGAGTTCGTGGCCACGGGGCTTTGGCAGGAAGAGGGAGGAGGAAGCGTGTAGGGCGTGGCATGTCGGGGACCGGGGCGTACACAGGGGAACGGGTACCTGCAGGGCAACGGGCGGCCGGAAGAGACCCGGGCACCCGGGCACGGCGGGGCGTGGCTCGTTTCGGACCCCGCCCGCCTCCTCTCGGCACGCCCCCGCCCCAGGCGCGGCTCCGCCCCTCCCGCGATGGCGGCGGTGCGGGCGCTCTTGGCGGCCGCCGCGGTGGCCGCGTGGGTGCTGGGGGTCGCGTCCGGCCCGATCCCTCCGCCCCGTAGCGCCTCCGTGCTGCTGGAGCCTGGCTCGGGCCGACTCCGCGTGCTGCCTGGCCGCCAGCCCGCCGCCGTCGCTTGGGCCGAGCTCACCGACCACATCCAGGCCGTCGGGTAAGGGCCCGGGGCTGTGCGGGGCCGTGCGGGGCAGCGCAGGGCCGCCCGGGCGCTTCCCGCTCTGAGCGGTGCCCCACGCTGCAGGTGGGCGTTCCTCGAGGTGTCCGCCAACGCGTCCTTCAACGACAGCCTGCAGGCTTACGCCGCGGGGCTGGCCGAGGCCGCCGTCACCGAGCAGGTGCGGGGCGCGGGTGCGGGGCGCGGGGCAGTGCCGGCGGCAGTGGGTGCCAGCGCCGTGTCCGCAGCTCATCTACATGCACTGGATGAACACGGCCGTGGGCTACTGCGGGCCCTTCCGCTACGAGACGCAGTACTGCCGCCGGCTGCGGGGATACCTGGAGGCCAACCTGGCCTGGATGGAGGAGCAGATGGGCTCCGGCCGCGACCGTGCCTACTGGCACCAGGTGAGGCCGTCCGGGCCGGGGCCCCGCAGCCCTCGGGAGTCGGCCCCGCACCGCGAGGCCCGAGAGTAACGTCGGTCCCCGTCCCGCCTCCCCGTCTCCCCCCAGGTGCGACTGGCGCTGCTGCAGCTGCAGGGCTTGGAGGACAGCTACCGCGGGCGCGTGGCCTTCCCCGCCGGCCGCCTCTCCCTCTCGCCCTTCGGCTTCCTGTAAGGAAGGTTCCGTCCCCGGGCTGGGCACACCGAGCACCCCCCCACCCCGGGAGCGGCGCTCGGTGCAGGTTGCCCCGGCCTGACGCCCCGCTGCCCGCAGCCTGCTGCAGCTGGGGGGGGACCTGGAGGACCTAGAGGCGGCCTTCAACCGCTCTGCCCCGCTGCGTCCGCTGGGCTCCGGTTCGTGCTCAGCGCTGCTCAAGCTGATGCCAGGCCGCCGGGACCTGCTGGTGGCCCACGACACCTGGGCGCCCTACCAGTCCATGCTGCGCCTCATCAAGAAGTACACGCTGCCGTTCCGTGCTGAACCCAGTGGTGCGTGTGGGGCCGGGCGCTGCTCTGTGCCCCCACCTGCTGCCTGACCTGCTCTGCTCTCCCAGGCACCGCCCGCGTCCCGGGCAGCATCCAGGTGTTCTCCTCCTACCCCGGCACCATCTTCTCCGGGGATGACTTCTACATCCTGAGCAGCGGGCTGGTAAGTGCCGCTTGCAGCCCTGCGCCCCCCACCGGCCCTGCTCAGTCCTCCTGTCCCCACAGGTTGCGCTGGAGACCACCATTGGGAACAGCAACGAGGCACGCTGGCAGTACCTGCGGCCTCAGGGCAGCGTCCTGGAGTGGCTGCGGAACATCGTGGCCAACCGGCTGGCCCGCAGCGGTGCTGAGTGGGCTGGCATCTTCCAGCGCTTCAACAGTGGCACGTGAGCAGGGTCGGGGCTGGGGGAGAAACGTCCCCTCCTAAGGGCGGCCACCAAAGGAGGTCACCATGCCTTCCTGCAGGTACAATAACCAGTGGATGCTGGTGGACTACAAGGCATTCTCTCCAGGGCGTGCTGCCCTGCAGCAGGGCCTGCTGACGGTGCTGGAGCAGATCCCGTGAGTGCCTCTCGCCCCCCAGTGCCCGGCCCACAGGCTGCCCAGTGGGCGAGGTGGGCTTCCTTTGCTGGTGGTGGCCTTTCTGCCAAGGTGTGACAGCAGCAGGGCTGCTGCTTACGGCTCTCCTGCGTGCGGGTGATGGCTCCTGGCCCCCTGCTTGAGACCCCCAGGTGGGTTTTCCCTCATCCGTGCTGTACTTTGCCTTCTGCTCTGACTGCTGCCATCCTCCCGCCACAGGGGTTTGGTGATGGTGGCTGATAAGACAGAGCTGCTGTACCAGCAGGGGTACTGGGCCAGCTACAATGTGCCGTAAGCTTCATCCAGCCTCACCTTTTTGCCCAGCCATATGGTCCTATGCTGAGGGCAGGCAAGGCTGACTGTCCCTACCCTCCCATCCAGGTATTTTGAGGAGATCTTCAATGCCAGCGGGAACCTGGAGCTGGTGCAGAAGTATGGTGACTGGTTCACCTACGACAAGAACCCGCGCGCCCAGATCTTTCGCAGGAATCAGACTCAGGTCCGTGATGTGGACTCCATGGTCCGTCTGATGAGGTGGGTGCTGGCCCCAGGGATTTTCCAGCCCTTGTGTCAGATCTTCACCGCAGTTGTCGTGTTACCTCCTGCACCCGGTCTCTCTCCCTGCTGCCCGACAGGTCCAACAACTACCTGCAGGACCCGCTGTCACAGTGCCGGGGCTGCGACCCGCCCCACAACGCTGAGAACGCCATCTCCGCCCGCTCTGACCTCAACCCAGCCAACGGCACCTACCCCTTCGCCGCCCTGCGCCAGCGCTGCCATGGCGGCACTGACACCAAGGTGGGCACAGCCCTGGGCCCTGCCATGCCGTCACTTTCTGGCGCTCACATCTCCACGTTACCCCCTCCGCCAGGTCACCTCCTTTGGCATGGCCCGCACCTTCGGGCTGGTGGCTGCCAGCGGGCCGACGTGGGATGATGTGCCACCCTTCCGCTGGAGCGCATCGCCGTGCAGCCACCTGCTGCATATGGGCCACCCTGACCTCTGGAGGTTCCCTCCTGTCAAAGTCCGATGGAACTGAGCTGGACCTCCCCACGCCTTTCCCTGTTTCTGCAGGATAGGGGGCTGCAGGGAACCGCCCCCCATGTTTTTCTCCCCATGCTTCTCTCACCATTTGCCTCTGCTCCTGTGCCCCATCCGTGCCACTGTGGCTGGGGTCGGTCAGTGGGCTCTGACCCCAGTCCCAAAACCAAGCACGGAAGGAAAGCCTCCCACAGGGCTCCTCATTCTGGGAGGCTGTTCCTGGAAGACGGGTTCCAGGAGGTGGGGCTGGCGCTGGGACAGCTGCATGGCAGGGAGGGGTGAATGGCCGGGGTTGGTGTAACAAATAAAACGCTCTGTGTGCAATGGAGATGCTGGTGACTGCACTTCATACTCTTCCAACATTCTGTGGTGCATGCTGTGGTACCCCGTTCAGGGATGTTGTTTGATGTGCTTCCCTATCTGCTGGGTGCTGCTCCAGGAGCACAGAGCAGTGCCTGCAGTGCAGTGCTGGGACACAGCGGGTCGGGCTTCTTGGCCTCTGCTCAGACTGCTCAGCGATGCCTCCCCTGGTTCCTGGCAGCAGCAGCAGGCACAGCTGGAACAGGCAAGCAGTGAAGGAGGGGGGGCACTGCCTGCCCCAGGACAGAGTGACCATTCTTGTCCCTTTTGTTTCCCTTCTTCAGCCACCTGTGTGCCCCCCAGCCCCAAAACCTCCAGCGCAAAATCCTCTTACTGCAGCTCCCTTGATCCGCTCCATGTGTGTGGCTCGTTAGGAATAACGAGGTAATTACTGGGGGATTAATGAGCTGACATTAGACAGTGCTTTGAAGGTATGAGGTTCCCACCGGGTCCAGGCTGGCCGATGTCCCACGGCCTCAGACCTGGCTGTGCCCCTGCCATTCCTGGCACACACCAGCATTTGTCACCTCCGGAACAGCACATCCCTGTGCTGCCAGGACCCATCCTGCTCCTCCCTGCCTAGGGCAGAGCCAGCTCTGAGTGTGTTGGTGTGGGGGGTGCCTCAACTGGAGGTTGATGGGAAGAGGCTGTCCCAGGGCAGAGCAGGGCTGTTGGCCCCACAGCAGTGCAGCCCCGCCAGGAGCCCTTCCCCCAGCACTTGCTGTGACCGGGACACACTGTGCTAATTCCAGTGCCAACGAGCCATGCTACAGCTGCCTGGAAGGGCTGACTGCCGTCCCAGGCCAATAGAGCAAAGTCCTCAAATCTGCTGACAAAGGACCCAGGGACGCAACCGCAGCTCCTCTGACGTCACTTTGCCCTCCTCAGTCCCCCAGCGTCGTTCTGGGACGTGCAGCAAGCCCCGCACCAGCTCTCACGTAGCATCCTGCAGTAATGGCAGCCCAACGCAGGGGGGGTGAGAAGACTTTCCACATCGTGTCCCCGCTCCTGGAGAGCCTGCCCCTGTCCCGGGCAGCAGGGACCCAGGTCTACATGAAGCTGGAGAACGTGCAGCCCACTGGCTCCTTCAAGATCCGGGGCATCGGGCGCCTCTGCCAGGAGGTGGGTGTGCTACATGGCTGTGTGGCCTCGGGACACTGGATTCCTATGGCCACGTCCTTCCTCTGTCTCCTTCCCTCTCCACAGATTGCCAGGAAGGGCTGCCGGCACTTTGTTTGCTCCTCAGGTAATTGGGACCTGCGTGGGGCTCGAGGGGTCTATGGGATGGAGGTGCTAGGGAACACCCCTGTGCTCCCGGCCCCTTGTCCTTGTGCCTTCCCACTGGGTTTTGGGACTGATCCAGATCGGGTGTCCCTTCTCCCCCCTAGCAAAGTTCGTCCTGTAGGTCTGGGATGAGCTGGGTATGGGGGGCGATGGAACTGCTCAACCCACTACTTTTCGCAGGGGGGAATGCTGGCATGGCTGCAGCATATGCGGCCAGGAAGCTGGGGCTGCCGATCACTGTGGTGGTGCCCAGCAGCACCGGCCCCAGCACTGTGCGCAGGCTGGAGGAGCTGGGGGCAACGGTGGAGACCTATGGGAAGGTAGGGCACCCATGCCCCAAACTGTGGCTGGAGGAGATCGCAGCCCTCTGCGAGGCTGTGGATGTGTGCAGACCCAGTGTCCCTGTCCCAAAATGCGTCACCCACACGCCACTTGGATTTCCACTGTCCTCATGGCAGCAAGGGAGGGGCAATGGGGATGGTGCACTGGAGCTGGCGGCAGCCCCACTGAGCACCCACCGCCTCCCAGGTGTGGGATGAAGCCAACCAGAGAGCCCTAGAGCTGGCGCAGAACGAGGGCTGGGCGAGCATCCACCCCTTTGACCACCCCTTGCTGTGGTGAGTGCTACTTGCCCCTGTGCTCTGGACAGGACACAGGCAGCCACCCACTGTCTCCATCCCACAGGCAGGGCCATGCCAGCCTGGTCCTGGAGCTGAAGGACGTGCTGGATGCAAAACCTGACGCCATCGTGCTGGCAGTGGGAGGTGGAGGGCTGCTGGCTGGCGTGGTGGCTGGGCTGCAGCAGGTGGGATGGCTTGATGTCCCCATCATTGCTGCGGAGACCTGGGGGGCCCACAGCTTCCACGTGGCACTGAAGGCTGGGCACCTCGTTACCCTGCCTGACATCACCAGGTGGGTGCTGGTGTCAGCATGGGGGCACCTCCATCAGCATAGGGGTCCCCAGTTTGATGGGACATAGAAAGTGCAGGGGGCTTCTCCTCTGGTGCATGTCACAAGTTGGCAGGTCTCAGCCAATGCTCTAGTGGAGCACCAAGGGGACAAAGGATCCCAGGTCTACTCTGACTCGTTCTCCAGTGTGGCCAAGTGCCTGGGGGCCAAGACTGTGTCAGCACGGGCGCTGCAGTGTGCCCAGGAGATCCAGGTCATTTCAGAGGTGGTGGAAGATGCTGAGGCTGTGCGCGCTGTGGAAAGGTTCCTGGGTGAGTAGGGCACGGGGACAGGGACTTGCAGAGGGGTGTGATGGGGACAGGCACTCAACATGTCTCCATCCCTGCAGATGACGAGCGGATGCTGGTGCAGCCAGCTTGTGGTGCAGCACTGGCCCTGCTCTATTCAGGGCGACTGCAGCAGCTGCAGCGTGAGGGACGCCTGGGGACTCCGCTGGGCCGCGTGGTGCTGGTGGTCTGCGGCGGGAGCAGCATGACGGCTGCGCTGCTGCGGGACCTGAAGAACCAGGTGGGCCTGGAGTGACCCTTGTGCCACTGCATGGCCACCCCATGGCCTCCTGTGCTGCAGTGATGGCTGCTGGACATGCACCGCGCCCATCACTGTGCAGCATGGGGAAACTGAGGCACGGCGGTGTTCCTCCCTCTGCCCTGGGGACGGCCGCGTCCCTTGAGCTGCTGTGGCTGGCACAGACCACGGTTCCCCACTCCAATTAGTGAATGCTCCCTCTGACTGACTACTTTGCTATTGTCTCAATGTGTTATTATTCTAATGATTATTAATTTTTACAATCTTCTGTTCCTGCTGCACTGTCTGCAGCCAGGTGTCTCCTTGGCAGGGCTGTAGGGCCTTGCTCTTGCTGGTGCTCCCAGCTCTGACTGGTGCCCAGTTAACACCACTGCTCCAACTCACTTCAGTTGATCTATTTCACTCCAGTGTCCATTCTGCCCTTTCCTGCCATAAAACTCCTCTCAGCCTCCTCCTGCCCCTCCAGAGAGTTAACAAGGCTCCCCTTGCCCAGCCACCTCCCAGAAGCCTCCTCCTCCCCATCTTCTTTTTTCCCTTTTCCCCAATAAATCCCCTCAGCCTGGCCAGCCCACACCATGCTTCCCAGAGGACCCACCCCATAAATCAAATACCCACTGCTCCACTGTGGGCAATATCTTATGTAAAAACGTGTTTCTAGGGAGTGCTGGAGGCTGGAGAGTCTTATTACAAGGCACACAATTAATTATAAGGAGTCAGACCAACCTCCTCCCACAGTTTTTTATCCTGGGTCCAGAACCAGATTACTTTCCAGCTTCTGCACCCCAACCTTCTCACACGGAGCCCCCACTTCATGCCAACCTCCTCCCTGCAGCCTGGGATGGGTGCTGTGGGTTGGTGCACCCTGCAACCAGCAGGACAGTAGTAACACAGTGTTCGTAACAATAGCAGCCAGCGCGTGCCCTTGTGCTCTGTTTTGCAGCCCTCCTAATTACAGTGGCAGGGGGGTCTGCTGGCCCTCAAACAGCCCATACGCATCCTATTGCTCTGGGGTCCCAGCGGGTCTGTGCCTCAGTTTCCCTCATGCTGAGTCCTTTGGGTGCCCCCCGCTTGGCTGCGGCCCCTCATTACCACTCATCATGGCACAGGAAGGATAAATTCCTCCGGTTGGCTGAACAGGGAAAATACGCAGCGAGGTGGCTGCCTGTCATCCATCACCAGCTCTTGGCGGCACCACCACGCCGGGACTTAAAATTCAGGTCAGAGAAAGGGGCTCTTGGAAGCCAGCAAGGGAAGGTAATTTATTCTGTTTATACCTTTTTACTACAAGACAAGGCGGGGGGTGGGGGGGATACACTCTTGCCTTGATTTTGCATTTTAAATATTAGCTGGGCGCCGCTCATCGCTCAAACCCCACAATGAAAGGGACCAGGTGCCGGAGCAGGTAACTAAAATGATTTTTATTCACATTGAACAACACGAGCTGGTCACACTGACAGCCTCTGCAAGAGGCAGTGGGGACAGGAAACCCACGCTCAGAACACAACTTTTTTTCTTCCTTTTCCATTCTCTTTTTCCCTTTCCCCCCCCCACCCTGCTCTATCCTCTCTCCTTCCACTCACCGCCGCCCTTTCCCAGCCTCCAAAATAGAAAAAAACTCAGAGCTTCCAATGACTAAAAGTACAATAAATAATCAGTAAACACAAAAACATACTTTATTTGTTTCTCCTTTATACAAAATAAAGAAACTAGAAGCAAAAACTATAATACATCCTCAGACCGCGGGGCCGGGGGGGCTCGGCCCTCCTGCGCTGCCGCACTGCTCGGGTGTTCTCTCAGTTTTTCTCTCTGTTTCTGTTTGCTTTTCCCATTTCTGCCTCTTCCCGGGTTTCCCAAGCTCCGCACACCCCTCCCCCCGCTCCCCTGCTCATCCATCACCAAAATTCCAGTACAAAACCACCTCCTCCTCAGGGATGAAGCAGGATCAACGGGAAAAGGGCCCGGGAGGGGGCTTAGGGAGCATCCTGCTGTCCCCCGTTACCCCCCACTGTAATACTCGGATGAACGGAGGCTGAAGAAGGGGATAATTAAAATGGGTGCTGTTTAGCGAGCGAGGATCCCCGCGGCAGCCCCCGCACCGGTGGGACCCGCGTCCTGCAAAGTTCAGCTTTGGTCCGAGAGCGGCGGTTCCGACACGGCGGGGGGAGCTCCGGGCCGGGCGCGTTTCGCCCCCCTCTCCCCCACTCATAACAGCACGGGGATGCGGAGCGGTGCGGGTGGGCGGGGAGGGAGCGCGGTGTCCCCGCGGGGGGGGGAGGGAGGGGGGGGGCGCGGTGGGAGGATGCAGTCGGACGTCGGAGGGCGCCCGCGGCGTCGGGGGGGCCGATATCCGTCGACGGGGCCGCGGAGAGCCGTGCCCCGGGGCTGAGGGGCGGGGGAGTCCTCCCCTTCGGCCCTACCACACCGCTGCCTCACTCAGCTCCGGATTGGGGTGCGCGAGGGCCCCACTGTAGCCGCTATTGCTGGACATGGAGAAGGGCGGACTGGGCCCCCCGCTGAAGACCTCCCCCGGGATGGGGTGCAGCGAGCCCGTCATCCCTGGCTCAGGGCTGGGGGTGTCGGGGTGCGAGATCATATCCGTGTACCTTTGGTTTTCTGAGGAGTGGTGTCCGCTTAGGGGGGGCTCCAGGGATCCCAGAGGCGTGGAGCCGGGTCCTGAGTTCTGAAGGTAGCTGGGGTCGGCCGGGGACTGGGCCTGGGAGGGGGGCCCGTGGGGGAAAAAGTCATAGTTGCCTCCCGGCCCGTAGTAGTCACCTTGGTAATCTGCAAAGGTGGGGAAAGGTTGGAGCCGGTCCCGAGCCACCACCCCGAGCGCCTGCGGGAAGTAGAGCTGCACCCCCACGCAGGGACGGGCGTGCCTCCCCCTCCCCCCTCCAGAATACCCTCCTGGGGAGCTCGGTGCTGCTGGAACGAACGTGGGACTAAGCAGGGAGAAAAACGGGCACCTCTGTACTTATGGCTGCAGTGCTGATGGAATGGAAAGGGGGGGGAAGTGGAGAACAGGAGGGGCTGGGGGCAGCCCCAGGGGGAGAGGGTAGGCATAATTTCGTTCTTAGTTACAACTAAGAAAAATACACACGTCTATATACCTGCACATATATGTACATGCATGTATGCATTTATAAATATAGATAAAAGTTATATACATATCTAATAGGAAGATATACGTAAAGGAGACACATAAATAAAGGTGAGTTATAGGAGACATATAAAAATAAAATATACTTACTATACTATACTTACTTATAGCAGGAAAAACACACATCATACTTATATATATTAGCTACAGAGGGGTTCTGGCAGCAGTGGGGGCAGAAGGGAATTGGTGAGAGCTCTTTGCCCAAAAGCGGGATATACCCCAAATGCCCTGGGGCTCCCTGTCCCACCCCGTCCTGTCAGGGTGGCGGTGACCTTCCCTAAGCTGCAGGCCCGGGGGGGGGGTAACTGGGACAAATGCAGCCTGAAAGGGGCGCAGAAGCCAGCAGCTGAGGCTTTGTTTCCAGGGAGAGGGGCCACGCTGCTGCCACCGCCACCGCTGCCACCGCCCCGAGTCCGGGCGGCAGGGGAAAGGGAGAGTAGAGATGGAGAGGAACAAAGGCAGGGAAGGGAACGGGGGAAGAACTCGGTGGGACGACACGGAGACGGGACGAGGGGCCCAGCTCCCTCACCTCCGTAGTACGTGTAGGGCGTCGAGCCGAGCATCTCGGACTCGTCGAGGCGGCCGCCCAGGGGCCGCATCCTGCGCGGGCTGCGGAAGAAGGCGTGCCGGCGGGCGCCCAGCGCGCTCAGCTGCTTCATCCGGCGCTCCTTGGATCGGCGGTTCTGGAACCAGACCTGAGGCCGGGCCGGCATCAGCACTCGGGGCCGGGTTGCCGTGGGGACCCCAAATTCTCGGGGCCAGCCCTCCCCACTTAGGCCAGGGATGATGGGGGCGGGGATGAGATATCTCGCTGGAAGGGATTTTCCAGCTTGGGGTTGTTTTCACGCTACCCCCTGCTGGTAACACCCTGGGAGGCAAGGAAAGGGGTCATTAAAGCCCCGGCACCTCCCTGCGTGCCGTGGGCTGCGCCGTCCTCACAGCCTGCCTGTGCCCCGAAAGTTTTCTCCAATGGGGGAGAGGGATAAAGAAGGGGATAAATGGGGGGGTCACGGCAGGAGGCGGGGAGGGAGCTGGAAGCAAGCTGGCCGATGGGGACGGGAATAAAAGGGAAGGGTGGTGCAACAGGGAGCATTCCTGCCTCGGGGGCGTTCTCTCTCCATAGCACAGCTCTGCTGTGCTGTGGGTGGGGAGGGAGGAGGGATATGCGCTATTTCCCCCAAATCTGGGCACATCTGGAATGCGCACACGTCCCGCGGGTCCTGCTTCCCTCCATCGGGAGCTGGGCTCCCTGCAGCAGAGCCGGAGCGTCTTCCCCTGTTAACGCTGCTAATAAATCCCATTAATCCCTACATTTCCTCAGGGATTTTCTTGCCGGGGGGGTTGGTTGGCAGCGAGGTAGGAAGGTACAGGGCTGCCTGCAGGGCACAGTGGCCTCTCCTTTTCTCCATCTCCTGTGCTCGCATCCAGAGCCCCATCCACATCCCCAGCCCTTCCCTGCTGCCAGCCCAAATTCTGCCATCCCGGACCTGTGCGAGTCAGGTCGGTGACGTCATGGGCCGGCCCAGTGATATCATGGGGGGCAGTGGGATGGCTGTGGAGTGGCCGTACCTGGATGACCCTCATATTGAGGCCGGTCTCCTGGGCCAGCTGCTCGCGGATGTGCCGGGTGGGCTTGGGGGTGGCTGCGAAAGCAGCTTTGAGGGTCTCCAACTGCTTGGCCTTAATGGTGGTGCGGGGTCCTCGCCGCTTGGTGCCCGAGTTCTGCTCCTCGTTCTCGTTGTTGGTGGTCTCCTTGTCCGAGGAGGTGGAGTTGTCCGTCTCCTTGGTGTCGTCCTGCATGGGGTCCTGGAGATCCGGGGACAAACTCCTGTCTGTACATGAGGACACTGTAAAGGAGACCCAGAGAGGGGGCAGGGGGGGGAGGGGGGCGGATTGCTTAGGAGAGAGATCGACCCCCCTCTCCACTGCCCTCCCCTTCCCACCGAGCCCAGATGCTTTTCAGGAGAGGGGAAGAGGTGCTGGGCAGCAGCAAGGGGTGCAGACGGCCGTTGCCCCCGAGGAACCCCGAAGCACCCCAAAGAACAATGAGCTCCGGTTGAGCATCTTACAGTTCGGCCCCTACATCTGAAAGGCAAACTCGGCGGCACCCCCCGCCCACTGCTGCACAGGGGCCGTGCAGCCGGGAGGGGGCTGGGGAGGGGGCCTCCCCACCGAGCACCCCGCAGCCTCTGGCGCTTCCCCTCTCCCCCCACGCCGTGCTTCTCACACCGGGAGCCTGGATGCACCGCTGGGAGAAATGCAAGAATGTATGGGCTCGTGGGGGGTTCCAGTCACTGCCTTAAATCTGGCTCACCTCCCCCAGCCACCCCCCCGGACCCTGATGCCGGCATCACCCAGGCCAAGCTCTACTCGCCTCGCTCGCAGCAGCGGCCCCACTGACTCGCGTGGCAGGATCCGGCCCCGGGTGCTGAACGGAGAAAGAGCCCACGGCAGGGGGTGAGCACGGGCGGCCGGCACTGCTGGGCCAGCAGGAGGGGGCCTGATCCCGCGGTCCTGACGCAGAGACAGCTTCCAAGGAAGTCAAATGGGAGCTTTGCCTCTGGGTGAAAGGAGGCGAAGGATCAGGCCCTCGGCGCGGGGGGACCGGGCAGCCTAGCAGGGGGGGTCCCGGGATCGGAGGGTGCGTGGGAGGGCTCGGTGGGGCAGCCGCGGGCTCAACGCGTGCCTGCGTCCCGCGGGGAGCACGAGGTGAACTCTTGCACCCCAAACCCCCTCCCGGTCCATGGGGCGCTGTTGAAACCTCGGCACCGGCAGCGCCGGGAGCTGCACCGGGAGCGCAGCGCTGCCCGTGGGGAGCGGGCAGGACTCGGCCCGGTGCGGTTCGGTTCCCCGGGCTGTGCCGCGCGTACCTGAGTTGAGGCTGCCTTCCTTCAAACTGGGAGAGTTCAAATAGTCCTCTTTGCAAACAAATTTGTTTTCGTCTATGATATACAGTTCCTCGCCCGTGGAGAGCTGCTTGTTGCAAACCATGCAGGTGAAACAGTTCAGGTGGAACACTTTGTTCCGGGCTTTCCGGACGAGGTCGCTGGGGGAGATGCCCTGGGAGCAGCCGGCGCATTTGGTGCCAAACCTCCTGGAGGGGAGAAAGGCGAGAGGTGAGAGGCTGGGACGGGACCGCGCCGCTCCCCTCGCGTCTCCGAGGCCCCCATCCCCACCCCTTCCGAATCTCGGTTTTCGGGTTCCCAGAGAGATCCCACCGGGGCCGCCTCAAAAGGCGAGGATGTCTTTCTCCGTGCCCTCCGGGGAAGAATTTCAGTCTCCCCGCGCTCCCAGCACATCGCTGCGGGACCGGGGGTTGGCAGCGGCCACGGAGCAGGGGCCAATTCGGGGTACGGTACGGGGCACCCTGTGCTCCACGTTGCTTTTTTCTCTTCTTGGAACAGCCGCTTTGCAGAGCTCCGGTTTCCCTTCTCCAGGAGATGCTTTTATTTTATTTTATTTTTTTCCAAGGAAGGCGAAAATTCAGAAAACGAACTCCCCGAGGGGAAG